CTAGTGATTAGAAGGTTCACTCGTCACGCTGAAGACCCGGGTTCGATTCCCAACATGGGTACAATGTCTGAAGCCCATCTCTGGTGTCCCCCGCCATGATATTGCTGGAATATTGCTAAAAGTCGCGTAAAACCATACTTTACTCACTCACTCACTCACTCAATCGTAAATTAAAAATGAGGTTCCCCTACTTTGTTTTAATAGTATATTTGCAGTGTTGACCCGGAAACCCACTTTTTATACATATTTGTGAAGGATAACTTTGGGAGTGTATCGAAAAAACTATTTGGTGCTATCTGATGATCCCCTACTCATGACATTATCATTAATGTTCAAAGACATTCACCAAGGCTCGAGATTTCCGAACTGATTCGCTTCGGATTGACAATTGAGCATCAGCTTTGTCAAGCTATGAAAAATTGTTAACATTTGTTAACATCCTTCAGTTGTGTTTTACAGCAATGGCGTTGTGTTTCTCCATTTCCTTAGAGGGAAAGTTGTATTTATGTCGGATACTTCACCAAGCCTCCAGTGATTAAGGCTGCGAGACTCAGGGCAACGCTGAACCACGTCAACCATGGTTGCCTGAAATGTTGTAACCCCGGTTGACTTAAATCACTGAGATTTTATTTCTCCAGACAGTCAAGTATATCATGTCTGCGCATATCTGAAACAGACCTCAAACAGAAAATGTTGGGAACAGCTGCTTTTCAGATGTACCGCCCGTAAACGGAAGCTGATAATTCATTTCTGAATCCCATCTGAATTCTTCCGTGGAAGAAAGTAGTACGATGTCCGGCGTGTTAGTATATGGAAATGAGAGCAATGTACAATAGTGATTAGTTATATTGGTTTATTGGGGAGTGATCGATCAGATATTGATATCGGCGTCGTTGAAGGCAATGTGGTACCAATGATTAAGAAACTAGACATGAAACCTTGAAAGCTTGAATAAATCAAATAAATGTACGACGTGGTGATTGTGTATCACATGGGTACTTAATCATTGTCAGAGCTATAATGTATGTTGAAATTGCAACAATCAATCAGGTGATTGTCAGTAAACAAGCTTACAGATTGGCGTATTAAACGGCATTCTTTCAACATGTTGAAAGACAGCAAAAATAACATACAATGCCTGAAAATAACCAGGATCAGATTCCATCGGACGCAAGAGGCAAAGTAGCGGTGAACATTATGTTAAAGGATCCCTGAAAATCAGCGAATTCCTGAAATGTTGTGAAATCCTACAACGTGAGGATGAAGCGGGTTAGACGGCTGACTTTGTGTGCCGGCGATTAGGTGTCTGATTCTGAGCGTGTGGGTTCGAATCCCGGATGGGACTCAACCCAACAAAAGTACTAGAATCTGTACGTTACCGAGAAAGTGTAATCCCAAATATAGCATATGTTACATATGACCACTTTCTAAATGGCGCCGCCTCCGTGGTGTAGTGGTTAGAGCGTCCACCCGGAGAGCGGAATGTCGCAGGTTCGATCCCCGACCGCGTCATACCAAAAGACGTTAAAATATGGTACTTGTTGGTCCCTGCCTGGCGCTCGGCATTAATGGGTACAACAAGGACTGGTCGGCTCGGAGTCAGTATTATGTGTCTGAGTGGGGTATTCATGCTTCACTGCGGCATGGTATCTCAGTGGGCTAGCACTAAAAACCAGCTTCAGTCAGGGCTAGTACAAGCAGCCGCACCTACACATACACACGCATGCACGTCGTCATATGAGCGAAATTTTCTCAAGCACGACGTTAAACCCAATTCCACCACCACCACTTTCTAAATGGCAAATTCGTGCAGGATTGTATAAGTTAGTTGATTGCAGTTGAAGAATTGTAGAGGGCAGATAGTCTGTATCAACTGACGAGAGGGAATCCCGTACAGCCACCACGAATAGTTAGGATCCTTTTTGAGGCATACGTGATCTAAACGTTTTGACATTGTTATTAAAATATCAGATATGTTTATATACATGAACATTTGACTTTAAAGAGGTCGACAATGGCAGTTCATGCAATATTTATACGTTTAAAAGTGCCACTATTTCCCCGATACCCTGTGGGGACAAATAATTGCACAAAGGCAAGAATGGATCAGGTAGTGAGTGAATTATTTGGTTTTTACGCCTCTTTTAGCAATATTCCAGCAATATCACGACGGGAGACACCAGAAATGGGCTTCACACATTGTACCCATGTGGGGAATCGAACCCGGGTCTTCATGGTGACGAGCGAACGCTCTAACCACTGGGCTACCCGACGACCCGATCAGGTAGTGAGGATCGGTGACTTGAAACGAAGCACTCATAACATCAACCACTGTTTTATTTGGCCCAGGCACGATCATTTACAGGTAGCTGGAATATTGTGGAGTGGGGTGTTTAGCCAAAAACATAACCATTGGCTCGTTACGTGACCAAAGCCGATAGCACGAGTTACACTTTGGAAACTAAACAAGTGGCGGCACTTGGATTTATTGATTCTACAGACATTTATAATATCTAAAAACTGTAATCACACTTTAGTTGTCATGAAATCCATGTTAAACGCGCCATCGCCCGGCAACCTAACATCAGTGTGTTCTGATCGCTGGTTCATTAGAGCAAATGACCAAACACTGATGACAAGCTGGGATACATGATGCCGACTGTGTAACAACGATCCTATAATGACTCCTATTTTCTAAATCTACGTAGTACATCTTAAACCATCGTCAACCTGACCTATGGCATGATAAACAAACAACCCTTCCAGAACAATAAGCTGCTAGCGGCAATTTCTTTTGACATTTTATTCTCGTATGACGCAGAATTGTCCTACGGTACCAATATCTAATCGATATTGTAATGATTATCAAAGCATTTAGTGTGCAATGAGAGCGATATTTATCCATGTTATGGGCCGTGTAGTATCGAACTCTGAAAGAATACACCCAATGGCCCTAACGATGTGTGACAATGGGATCTCAGGGTTATAGGGTGTTCCTAAAGACACAATAGTTCAGCGACAAAACATGGTCACAAACTAATTAGTACCTGTAGCTCGTTGGGTAAACACTGTGCTTCAAAGGATGTTGATAACATCCTCAACCAGGGCTAGTTTTTGATGACCACCCGCCCATAACAATGATACGTTTCAGCATATCTGGTGAAGTGTTTATTGGTCTTGTTTGAATCAATGGAAGGTAATGTTGCAAAACATGCGTCCACCGTGACATATGAGCGCCATTAGCGAAAGTAAACGGGTTTAGTACCACACTCGGGATATTAACTAGGTTTATGTTGCGACTTCCACATAATTTATTAATGGTGAAGGAATTTATTGCCACGAAGTACAAAACCACGCGTATTGTTGAGACTGTCAGGTACGATGCCGCCCTCCATCTGCAGGTATAATGGAAGCAGATGGGTGTACGGACGGATGCTGATGGACAATCGTTGCTGAGACATTATAAGGTCTTATGTCTCAGACGCAAGAGCCCTATTGGAATTGTTCGATTTTGTTTTATTATTGATACATGTTTCCAGTGTTTGGTTGAACAAAAATAATATTTTCTGTTTTATGAATTAGTCAATGTTGGATAATGAGTCAAGTCTTTTAAACTCCACCGGAAGTTTTATCGGTGAATAACTCCGCTTTTCTCATTTATATGCGGTCTGTTTGTAACGTAAGAGTTTCTCTATAGTCAATAGAGTATAGTTTACGGTATAACTAATGGCCATCTATAACCAAAGGAATTATTTTATGACAAGAACATCAATATTATATTAATTTGGAAATGGTAAAAATTCTAACATGTCAGTACAGTGAAGACTCAAACACGCATGCGCGCATATAGAAGTCCATGCACGAACCTTTTAGCTTCATTGTACCTGTAATTTAGACAAGACATGGGAATTTTGAATCTGTTGACATTTCCAGCTGAGTGTGTTGTACGTATGTTTGTAGCTACGGGTATGCACACACACGGATCATATTTCCGTCTCTATACATTAAAAAACATATACGGCTGTGAAGACTCAGGAAGTGTAGACATTAAAATCAGTTTTGTTAAATAGTTTCATGTTACCGTTCGTTCACAGTTTATACACTTGTTCATATCTCTTTTCTTATTTCGTATCTGTGTCAAAATTTATGTTACTGCAACTTATTAATTTTGGTTCTATATATATTTTTCATATCAGGTCTAAGATTGTTCCATGCGAACACTTTTTAGCTGTTGCATTGAGTGAAAACATTATTTTAGTCAAAAGAAGTTATGAATTCGGAATTAATTTAAATCCTCCCTTTGTTCCTACGGGACAAAAAGGATGACGAATGATTAGTTTCAAAAATTACATGGAAAAGAAAGTATATTTTCACGAGATATAGACTTGTGGACTTGTGAATCTAATCAAACGTGTACAATATTACATTTACCATGCCTATATAAAAAACAGAAATATGTATTTAGAAACACCTTAAACTTCATTTGTATATTGTTGTTAACTATGTATAGTTATATAATAATAATAAATAATTAGTCCATTTATATTGCGCTAAATCCACACCGACAGCATGCTCATAGCGCAGACAAGATAGAATTTAGTCATTTTAAAACATAGAGAAAGGTATGTCTTTAGGTTTGATTTGAAACATGTGACTGTTGGGCTTGTTCTAAGGTGAGCTGATAGCTCATTCCAGTTCATCGCGGCCGCCACTTGGTATATGGGCCCTTGGTCTCATTACAAATAAACTCCTTTGACTTTGACTTTGACTGGACAGGGCCGCCTCAAGAAGATGACTTTCTTGTGCACGGTAGTCTGTATAGCCAGGAACATATACACCTGAATAATTTCATGCCATAATATCCTAATGTACTCCTTGATGAATACATTCACCAAACATATTTGCCATCACTTAGAGTTGTTAGGCTATGCAGTGTAAATAAATGGTCTGTATTGCCGTAGTGAATTAAATCCAATCATTGCGTATTCTACTCCTTACAGCATCCTCTTTGCCGACATCGTGGGTTTCACCGCCATCTCTTCATCATGCACTGCTGCAGAGCTCGTCAAGACACTAAACGAGTTATTCGCTAATTTCGACAAGCTCGCAAATGTAATTAGAATTACATTTTATGAAAGTCTTTTTCACTAATTTGCCAAATCTATTTAAAAAACCACACTGAACATTTAACAAATTAATTGATTTCAAATTAACATTGAAATGTACCGATTAACAGACGACAACTAAAAATGCACATTGATTTTGCTCCAATAATTGTCATTGATTAAATGATTTAGTGTTACTTTCTCCTTACTTATAGAAGTTCCACCAGCATCGGATAAAGATTCTGGGGGACTGTTACTACTGTGTGTGCGGCGCCCCCGACCCTCGACCCGACCACGCCGTCCTCTGCGTACACATGGGCCTGAACGTCGTCGACGCTATAACGTATGTAACCTCACTATATCACACGCACGCCGTACGCCGTACTATTCCAGACCCGTGAAGATCCGGGGTAGAATAGTTCTTCAGCAACCCATGTGCTTGCCATAACTGACTGACTGACTGAGTTTGGTTTTACGCCGCTTTTAGCAATATTCCAGCAACATCACGGCGGTGGACACCAGAAATGCTTGCCATAAAAGGCGACTATGCTTGTCGTAAGAGGCGACTAACGGGATCGGGTCGTCAGTTTCGCTGACTTGGTTGACACATGTCATAGGTTCCCAATTGCGCAGATCGATGCTCATGCTGTTGGTCACTGGATTGTCTGGTCCAGACTCGATTATTTACAGACCGCCGCCATATAGCTGAGATATTGCTGAGTGCGGCGTAAAACTAAACTCACTCACTCACTCCGTACAATTCCAGCTATATCAGTAGACTGGACAAAACACACCGCTTATTACACTCATGTGAGACATCAATTTAATCCTGGGTAGGCTAATTGATCCATTAGGGTACCCAATAGTCCACTTGTAGATTCCATATTGTGTTATCTTGGTGTCTCTTATCTCTGCCGAGTATAAGCCTGCTGACATTCAGAAGGCCATTCCACTGTACCAGATTACAATGGATGATAACGAGGTTGCTTTTGCTAACATCTGCAGCCATCACATGGATAAAACACGTACATTTTCAGGAACCGAATACAATTCCTTATTGTTTGACATGGATGCCTAGCCAGCATCATTCTTGTTTTTCCGTTTACATTAAAGAAGGACCTAGGTTGACTTAAACAACAGTCTAACTTTACATCCCTCAATTAACGGTAACTTGATCAGCTTGTTTTAAAAATTACACACAATGTTGCCACGTTGTGGGTGTCTAGAACTTGGCAGAAAATGGGTACTGATAATTTGAATAAAGTTTGATAATATCCCTTGGATCTGTCCCAATTTTTCATAATATTCTTGACAAGATCCCAGTATTCCATGATATCCCTTGACTAGACCCATGTATTCCATGATATCCCTTGACAAGATCCCTGTATTCCATGATATCCCTTGACAAGATCCCTGTATTCCATGATATCCCTTGACAAGATCCCAGTATTCCATGATATCCCTTAACAAGATCCCTGTATTCCATAATATCCCTTGACTAGACCCATGTATTCCATGATATCCCTTGACTAGACCCATGTATTCCATGATATCCCATGACTAGAATCCAGTATTTCTTCACATCTTGGAATAGATTCCGGTATTTCATGACATCAAATAAACAGTTCCCAGTGTTTTACGAAACCCCTGAACAGATCCCAGTATTTCTCCGTATTGATCCCGGTAGTTCACGACATACCATAAATAGGTACCTGTGTTCTATGGCATCCCCCGAAAAGCTCCCAGTATTAAAAGCCTGTAGCAAATTGCGAAAAGAGAATGTTGAGGCTCTATTACTGTGTTGAGTGCTGTTCCGATCGCAAGGGGGCATTGGTCACACGACCAAACACTGACTTACCTGGGCCAGTGTCCCTGTTTTACTGATCGTCATAATATGGCCGGAATAATGCTGAGTACCGATTTCAATTACGAACGTCTAACAACGACGGCAATGTACGCGAATGACCCAGTCGTCTGAGTTACCGCATATTGCTGTGCAGGATTGCCTCCCTTAGGCGTACCAGAAACCTATGATTATGGGTTCGAATCCCGGTTTGCCCTGATAATTTTTCGATGTTTGTCTGCACCATACATGTGTTCACGTGTTTGTCCAAAGTGGCCAGCGTTCCCCTCACGTGAAGCTGGCGCCGTTATCTAAAGAACTGCTGTTCAAATCGGCGTTAAGCATCCCACTTACAACCAGGAACGAACTAAACATTTTGTATCATGCCATGCTTACGTTCCAGATACGTGCGAGAAAAGACAAAGAGGGACGTTAACATGCGCGTAGGAATACACACCGGAGCAGTGTTAGGAGGCGTACTGGGGCAGAAACAATGGCAGTATGACGTGTTGGGAAAGGAAGTGATTCTAGCTAACAAGATGGAGAGCGGCGGAGTCCCAGGGTAGGTGCCGTAGCTGCTACGTTAACAGTTACCAGACGTCATCACTGGTTTCCTGTGTTCCACTTTTGTAGTTGTCACACCCTTTTATGGGTAAGAGGCGACTAACGGGATCGGGTGGTCAGGCTCGCTGATTTGGTTGACACATGTCATCGGTTCCCAATTGCGTAGATCGATGCTCATGCTGTTCATCACTGGATTGTCTGGTCCAGATTAGATTATTACAGACCGCCGCCATATAGCTGGAATATTGCTGAGTGTGGCGTTAAACAACAAACCAACCGACCCTATACGCTTCAGCTGGTTATCGAGGACGATTGTGCCCTAGCGTGACCGTTTCATAGACTAAATACCTGGCCCCAGTTGACCATTCTTTCAACCACAGGCAAATTGTAGCGCAAATAGGGTCGCGCAACAAAGAGAAAATGACAAGTCTTCCCATATGCGAGCTCGCTTCGCTCGCATATTGGAAGACTGGTCATTTTTCTCTTTGATGCGCAACTCCATTTGCGCTACAATTTGCCTGTGTTTCAACTAATGACGAGGAAGGTTGAGCTTGCATGGTGATGACACTCCTGAAGAAGTGACTATTGTGACAGAGTATGTTCCTGGTCAAGCCCTACCAATCGAAACCAGCAGACATCAATTATGCAACTAATTAGCAATTAATTTTTGTTGTTGATATTTACACACTTTAATAAGAAATTGATACCAAATATGTCCAGAGGAGACACGATCCCAATAAAGTCTGCATTGTAATGATTGAAACATTTCCAAGGATAGCAAACAGTGAACCACACAGACGGTGGCGGTTTTAAGTTTTAATAACCAAATAATGCGTTTGCAGTAGGAAGTGTATTGTTTGTCCACGTTGCATGTCTTGGGGTTAACAGCCTAAGCTAAAGGTCTTTACTGTCGTAATTGCTAATCCGGAGCCAGTACACTGTTGGCTGTTGTGGATTGTTAGTGACAGAATTGATTAGATATACATGTACGTTGGCTCATTTGTCCAGGGCGGGTGGGGCTTTGTGTTTTGTATTGACATATTACAAAGTATCGATCGAAGTCTGTGTTCTCGTCACATTTGTTTTGTGATCGCAATGATTAATGTATTGGAAGAAACGATTTTCCATCCCGTTTTTTCAAATCTCCTGAACTATGCAAAGCCACACAAAAGAAGCCCACCCACACCAAAAAAACCCCAACAAAACAAACAACAAAAATAACAAATCAAAACAAACAAAACAATAAACAAAACAAACAAACGTTTTTTAAAACTTTAAAAAAATACCAGTATTGCACATTCAGTCTTGTTCGCTGATCAACAGTGGATTCACCCTCAATATGATACCCATTTTCGTTTAACATCCAACATCTCTTATATGCGATCTATAACCGTAGTGAATCTGTAAGTGACGTCAGATTTCTCTCCAGGCGGGTGCACATTTCGGAGACCACCAAGTCCTTCCTCCATGACGAGTTTGAACTAGAACGGGGTAACGGAGACCAGCGAGAAGACTACATCCGTCTACTGGGTCTCAAGACCTACCTGATCAAGTCAGTCCTCAAACCGGTAAGTGGGCACCTCTTTTACGGTGTTCAATGATCTTCTGTCAGGGTCAAACCTTGCACTGTGTAAGGACATACAGTATGCAAGGACATTTAGCAGATGACGACATTTTGATGGCTATAATGTCTAGGTCCCCAGCCCCCCGGTGTTTTTTGCTGAAACGTAGATCATCCTTCCACACTCGGAGTTGATGAAGTGAATGAAATAGATAAATGTCTTCTTCACCTTCTGCTGAACAACACTTGATCTGCCGTAAATCTGATCTTCGGCAAGCCATACCTGTTGCATGGTGAGTGAGTGAGTTTAGTTTTACGCCGCACTCAGCAATATCCCAGCTATATGGCGGCGGTCTGTAAATAATCGAGTCTGGACCAGACAACCCAGTGATCAACAGCATGAGCATCGATCTGCGCAACTGGGAACCGATGACATGTGTCAACCAAGTCAGCGAAACTGACTACCGATCCCGTTAGTCGCCTCTTACGACAAGCATAGTCGCCTTTTATGGCAAGCACATGGGTTGCTGAAGACCTACTGTTGCATGGGATCAGGTGGTCAGGCTCGCTGACGTGGTTGATACATGCCATCGTATCCCAACTGCGTAGATCGATACTCATAATGTCAATCTTTGGATCGTTTGGTCCTGACATACAGACCGCATATACACACATTTGGTATAAGTGCAGCTTTAAACATCACAGAAACAAACACATTCTGCTGAACAGTTAAGGACAAGAGAATCATGGAAACTGACGATGTTTCAGCTGCAACCTGAACAAGTTAACGGTACGTCCGAACAAGTAAACGGTACGTCCGAACAAGTTAACGGCACGTCCGAACAAGTTAACGGTGCGTCCGAACACGTTAGCGGCACGTCCTTTAAGAACGACAAACACGTCACCGCCAAGAAGAATGGCTTCTCCAAGACAGGGTCTCCAGGAAACAATCCGTCACTGGAACAAGAGGACGGCATTCTCATGAACACATATGAGGTAAAGATGGAAGTATTGAGGTCTTGTATGATATCTAAGAGTTTCATGGACATCAAATTATTATCAAATACGAAAGCGTGCCGTATCCGTTGAAATAAGGAAAGCGACGGCCCATCGAATGCTCTTTGCTGTGAAAAGGAAAACTCTCTCAACTTGTTTTTGCGTTTGGAATCGCAGACAGAATCATGCATATTGGGCGAGTTACTTGTTTTATAATGGCAACCAATGAATAGACACAATAAAACCCCGATTGTCTGGATTGGGCAACATGTGTGTCATTTCTCTAGAAACTGTGTCGCTCGGGTTAGGTTCCGCTTTTTTTATGGAAATAACGTTATTTTACCAGACATCAGGTCAGCGGGAAGACGGGGATTTCGGGGGTGATGGTGGAAAGCTAGAACAGCGACTTCAAGAGGCACTTCTGGAAAGAGACAATGAGCGGTAAGGCCACCTTGTTATAAAGAGAGGAGTGGTGAGCAGTGAGCACTTCTGGAAAGAGACAATGAGCGGTAAGGCCACCTTGTTATAAAGAGAGGAGTGGTGAGCAGTGAGCACTTCTGGAAAGAGACAATGAGCGGTAAGGCCACCTTGTTATGAGCACTTCTGGAAAGAGACAATGAGCGGTAAGGCCACCTTGTTATAAAGAGAGGAGTGGTGAGCAGTGAGCACTTCTGGAAAGAGACAATGAGCGGTAAGGCCACCTTGTTATAAAGAGAGGAGTGGTGAGCAGTGAGCACTTCTGGAGAGAACAATAATAACACTGAGCACTTTGGAGAGGCGTGTTGCATATATAGATTTGGGTACTTGAGAAGCGAGTTAAATAACGAGGGTGGGGTGCACTGAGCACATCTAGGTAGAGACCACACAGTGTTTCATATATAGGCTATTTTTGTGTGCGCTGTCCATATTCAACTGAGTGCTTTTTAAAAAGCACTTTGATAGAACAGATGTCACATCGGCCAGATTGCTTGCTAATAGTGAACTGACTGACGGAACAGCAAGCACCCTGTCAGACACAGTCTGGTTGCAAAAAAACAGCTGAATGTGAAAATAAATTGATCAAAACTCTTGATAACGTTAGAAGCGAAAGTGACCAAATCAAAACTTTAGGATTATTACCGGTTAATGGCATCTCAAAACCAACAAATCTAATGTCCACTTCGCTAGATTGACAGTATCAGGTAGAATATTTTAGTTGGTCCAATCGCTGATGAGCCTGGCCGTTTTTGCACTGAGGGGATGCGATAACACACGTTTGACACCTGCTGATCCTGATTATCAATGTGTATGTTAATATAATCTGCCCTTGTTGTTTTCACAGGGGTGTTTCCAAGCAACTGCATCATCTGAGCATGCGTTTTGCAGACCGGAAGCTGGAGTCGCGTTATCAAGGCAGACGAGAACAGTTCAGCGACATGGCGTCATTGGGGTTGTGTTTGGTCGCATTGTTCACGTTTCTGGCCCGACTTTGTGTTCTGCCTGTGTAAGAATATAATTATATAATATCTATAACATGTGTATATATAACTAAGACAGTTCCAAATGCCTTCTTTTACATCCAGTCTACCCTTATATTTGCACAAGCAAAAACAGTTTTTGTATGTTTGTCAAAACTGCACCGGCTGTTCAGCTTCTTTAAAACAGACATGTTTTTTCCACACTGAGAGTCCAGGGGTCCAAAGCACTATTCTATTTTCTTGGTGTATAAATGAAGACTGACTGACTGACTGAGTTTGGTTTTACGCCGCTTTTAGCAATATTCCAGCAACATCACGGCGGGGGACACCAGAAATGGGCTTCACACATTGTGGGGATTCGAACCCGGGTCTTCGGCGTGACGAGCCAACGCTTTAACCATAAGGCTACCCCACCGCCCCTATAAATGAAGAAGGGATAGTAACCCTATATTGATCCTGCTTCTGAAAACGATCTTAGTGATAAGTTCTTCAGTCTGTTTCTTACGTCTATGTTATGGAGGGCTGGAGGGCTACGGTCGCTTTGAATTAGAGTGTGTGAGTTAATATTGTTTAGCGCCTCAGTAAGAATTATCCTAGTAATATCCTGGTGGCATAACAACTCGAGTCTGGACCAACAAACCACTGATCGAAAGCATGAGCAACAAATGATGTTCAAACAATCTACCATACAACGGGGCCTGGACACCCGATACCCATTTTGGTCAGCAATGATAACAAACAGGAGACAAGGGTTACTTAGTTTGACCCGGACTGAGTAAAACACAGTAAAACACCGTTATGTCGAAGTTGAAGAGTACTTCAGTACACAACCCAAAGGGCGCTGGGGGAGCCCAGTGGTATTTAAAAAACGTTGGCTCGTCACGCCGATTCTCCACATGGGTACAATGTGTGAAGCCATTTCTGGTGTACCCCCGACGTGATATTGCTGGAATATTGCTAAAAGCCGTAAAACCACACTAACTCACTCGACACATGAATGTAAAAAATATATCAAGGGACCACGTTTTACTTCGAGAGTATCAGTTAGACACATCAATGTTCTGCAGGAAGGTGTTTAATTGTATAAAGATGTATTATGCACGCCTGCCAACTTGCATGTAAGGAACATAAAACATAACTACCCTTGCACCTTCCATTTTTAAACGTCTGTGTTTTACAAACAGGCATTGTTTTCTTGAAAACATTTTGAATATATCATTTTCAGCACATTCCATGCCCTCTACTCATTCATCATCGGGATGCTGATACTGGTTGCTATGACAACTTTTACGATGGCTGTCAACCACAATGCTGTAAGTAAAGAACATAATATCTATATGTTTGCCATAGCATTCCACAAAGCATATTAATACATCTAATTTTGAGACCCTGCAGTTAGTTTATGAAAATCAAATGTGGGTTATTTATTTTCATTACTTTCAGAATTCATGCCCCAGCTGTTTACTGCGCCTCTCAGAAAGAGTGGGAAAAATATCGTCCCCGGATCCTTTGGACTGGGTTCTTGGTCTTGGTACTCACCGCCACTGATGTTGTGGACATGGTAGGTGTAGACAAAATAGCAATGTATTTAGTCTTGTAAGTCCTCAATACTCAAGAGCATCGACGCGAAATGAGGATCCGATGGTTGCTATGGTTGTGTGAGCTGACAGTATATAACTCCATTACTTGTACCACAGGGCCATGGAACAAATATTCCCTACAAACAAACCTGCAGATGAGACCGAATAGCGAGTTTGTTGGTGTATAAGACTCAGTTTTTGGCCCATCAGGGTTCCATTGTGAGAAGCTTCCCTCTGCCGAAAAATGATACACATGTTGCCTTAACACACATTAACTGTTGGAATATATAAACACATGAAATGTTTTCAACTTGTATCAATTATGGTTTTAGCCCCATTATCAACTCGCGACGTGACTCATCATATCAATTTTGCCAACTCGCTGAATGAATTAACATCTAGATTAAATCATAAAGTGTATAAAAATCGAACACCTTTGGTGGTACTACAGAATCTTCAAATAACAAACTCTTAGCTCAACAGAGTCTAATAATATCATCATTGACCCCATAGTTTCTCTACATTACTACATTGACAAGGTTTTAATAATGTTAGCATTGATGTCAGTCTACATGCTTCCACATTGGCAATGTCTGTTTCAACTCCATGCCAAACCTAACCTAATATTTTAAGATATATCCACACAACAGCAAAATTCGCTTTTAGATACTTCCATATTCTTGGAATAAATTCAATGAACTATTCTACCCGGAAGTCTCATTAGGACATTCACATGGTCACCAACAGCACATGCGATCTATATAGTTTCATTTGTGATCAAGGATATAATTAGGTTTGCTTATACGTTGTCGGGCTAGATTACGAAATTTGTCATGTTCGCTTCTCAGAAGCATTAGCACATTCAGTGTGAATGATCTCACTCGGGTACCGTCCCTCCATTGTCATCGCCAAATTGGAAGGCAGCCATCATGGAGCTAGATTCCCACGTTTGACACGCAGCAGTCACGTTCCACAACCTGTCTGCAGTTGTTACGTATATTGTTCGAGTGAGTGAGTATGGTTTTACGCCGCTTTTAGCAATATTCCAGCATTATCACGGCGGGGGACACCTGAAATGGGCTTCACACATTGTACCCATGCATATTGTTCGAGTGAGTAGTATGGTTTTACGCTGCTTTTAGCAATATTCAGCAATATCAGGGCGGGGACACCAGAAATGGGCTTCACACATTGTACCCATGCATATTGTTCGAGTGAGTGAGTATGGTTTTACGCCGCTTTTAGCAATATTCCAGCATTATCACGGCGGGGGACACCTGAAATGGGCTTCACACATTGTACCCTTGCATATTGTTCGATACAACATTGTATTCCTGTTATTAAATCTAAAAGCGTTGTACGAACTGTATACAGTGATATCATCGTATCCCTTCGTTGTTGGATATCAGTGTTTATGCGACACGGTTGGAGTCTACGGATCGTCGTTCTTCTTCGTTCCCGACAAATCATAAAATATGTTAGACTGTATACACCGGTACTCTGGTCGTGACAAGTTAAATATCAGGCTGAAAAAAGTATACACTTGAAAATTGGATTGTGCCCCCAAAATTACAAAGGATATCAAGATGGTGCCAATGTGGAACAGTCGATGAAACACAGTTAAAGTTAAATTGAAAATCTCAACTATGATCCTCGCATCAAATACCCCACCTCGATCAGACTTGATCTCGTCACTATATGGCTGGAATAATGCCGATGTGACGTAAAATCCAACTCAACGCAACTCAACATCCCCTCGAATAGTTCTTACTTGTTTCTTCATATTTAGCCAGCATGAAACATGGATGTATATTTTCGTCAGCCAACATTCAGGGCCGTCAGAACACCATTGTAGACAGCAGGGTAAAGCAATATATATGGGCCCTTGCACAACCTCAAAATGATTAGCATGGGTCCCCAATGTTGGTTGCCACCAGCAACTGACCAGCAATATTCCAGCAATATCACGGCGGAGGACACCAGAAGTAGGCTTTAGATATTGTACCCATGTGGGGAATGGAACCCGGGTCTTCGGCGTGACGAGCGAACGTTTTAACCACTAATCTACCCCACCCCCCGTCTGCAATATCGAAACACTGATATGAAACGACGAGATGAGAGAAAACAGTTTCTCAGCCACAAGAGCAATATGCGAATGATTTGTCAGTGTACTAGTGAGTGAGTGAGTGAGTATGGTTTTACGCCACTTTTAGCGATATTCCTCCAACATCATGGCGGGGGACATCAGAAACGGGCTTCACACATTGCACCCAGGTGGGGAATCGAACCCGGGTCTTCCGCGTGACTAGCGACACTTTTACCATTGCTCTACCCCATCGACCTGTGTTATTGGGTAAATATCCGGTACGCCCGGGTTGTATTTCTGGATTTGTCGGCACCAAATCCGTGGGTTCCCTTACATGGGTACCCGGTGGAAAAAGTCATATGACTATAACCTTCTAGCGCCTAACAGGCAGCTTGGGTTATCCGGGGTAATAATGTACTGTGCCTTGATTGTTAGCGCTATGAGCATACCTAGTGTGGAGTTTGGCGCTATATAAATGGACACATTATTATTATGTGCATGTCTGAGACCTGCACACAATGTATCCATGTGGTGAATAAAACCCGGGTCTTCGGGGTGACAAGCGAACGCTTTAACCACTAGGCTACCCCACCACCGCTGTCAGTATACTGACAGTGTGAAATTGACATCTTACTACAGCCCCGATATTAGGTGGCGGACTAAACCGAGCGACCCAGAATGTTTGTGGTCTGGGAGTGTTCCCAGTACAGATGGTGCTTCCTGCGATCTATAGCACACATTGTGTGGACAAGTTGTCGCCTCCGATGGAAACCTCGATGTGCATTTATCTGATTAGTTTGGTAAACCAAGCGCCTAACGACTATCGATTGTCAATGTGCCATATGGTTTGTTGTCTAAACTGGTTGATATGAAACTCAGGTTATGTTGGGGCGGTGGGATAACCTAATGGTTAAATCGTTCGCTCGTCACGCCAAACATAGGGATCGATTCCCCACATGGGTAACTATGCGTAGCCCTATTCTGGTGTGCCCCCGCCTTGACATTGCGGTAATGTTGCTAAAAGTGGCGTAAAACTAATCTCAATTATTCACTCGGGTTATGTTATCTGTGACGTTAATGAATGGACTGTGGGAACTTCAAGATACCCCTTCTGATTGTTATCTTTGAGCATCCTGATTCATATCCAGAAAGACCGCCAGGTAATAGGATACAGCACAGGTGGGAGATAGGGATGGCAGAAGTTCTGCCAAAATAAAACCAAACACGGTCATTTTTCAACTACTTTTCGGATATTAGTTTAAATATTTTTGCAGGAAAGGGCCTCACCTCTGCCGGGATTACGAGTTGCCAAATCATGATTGGCTCCGCAGTTCGCACTGCAGAATAGCGCGCGCTCACGCACGCACGCACACACGCACACACACACACACACCAGGATCCGCTAATTGTGTGTTTGAATCATAGAATCATTTCCTGTTCTAGCAGTATTTTCTGTCTCCTTTCTTTGGTCGTTGACAATGTTATCTACTTTAAAGGACTATTTTGTGTTATTATGTGGACGTCTTCGTAAAACCAAGATACTTTTACAAAAACATAGTGATCTCAAAATCTTATTTAGTCTCCAACAAGTACATACAATTGCGGAAACCAAAAAGTATATTTATTCACTTCAGATATGTTTTCTTACAAGGCACATGTTTATCTATTTTTAATGTACCTTTTGTCAATTTCATTTGTGTTTTTCTCTTCCTAGTTTGGGTGCGCCATTACCAACCACGCCAACACCACTAGCAGCAAGTGGATGTTACCATCCGATCCCACGTGCAAATACCCGCCTTATTTCATTCATACCGGAAGTCTCGTTCTCATGGGGATTGCAAGTCTCGTCCAGATTGGACAGTTTGTGAAACTGGTGTTAGTGGTTTCCATAACAACCCTGTACTGTGTATTAGACATCGTGGTAATGCCGCAGTTGTTTGACAGTTACGACATCACCGTCTACAGCCAGTATGAAAGGTGAGCTCATTGGTGAGAATGTCAGATCAGCTTAATACGTCAGAAATAATACATTACCGCCTTAATGATACGAACTGGAAACTTAATATAAGACTACCCGAGTTACAGTAAAACCCATCCTCGGCAATCAAGTGTTATATGTCTTCACTCTAATTTATCAACGTCCTCAACACATTCGCCAGTATAGCTTCGTTTTGTGACCGGTTTCCTGACACCACGCTGAACATATACTCTTCAAATGTTTAACTGATATTCGGGCATACAAAGATTGTTACAAACTATACTGTGTGTATTGAGAATGCCAAGACCACAATGTGCCAACAGTATTCGAGATAAGTGCCTGTCCCTAGGTCTGTGACAGATCTTGTGTCGGACCCGTAGTTCCACATTTCTGTAGAAAGTTATGTTCTGCAGTAAATGTACGTGTAGATTTATTGGTCACGATAACCTGCACATTTTAAAGACGAGTTGTGTCGGAGCGTGCAGCGTCTTATATCGGTCCTGAAGCAGCCTGGATTTATTCATGTAAAGTTCCCAGACGAAGATCCTTCAATCCTCTTGTTTCTATCTGTTTGGACATTATCAATAAGGCTCGATAGCATAAAGATGGTGTCCTATTTAGGTTGTTGCCATTTTGTTTTAGCCTGTATAGCGAACGGTAGACAGTTCTACATGGGGAGGTTGGGCAGTGTCATCCTTTACTGACACTTAAACATTCTTCAGAAAGTTTTGCCAAATCATCGGCCCTGTCTTTTCCACGCAGCCCAACATGTACAGGTACCTGTGGAAAGTCAACATCTTTACTCGATTCTTTAAAAAGGACAAGTCAGGAAGAACCTGAACAAATTGCGGAAACCGCACTGTCAGAATCACTATGTATAACAGCTGACACAGTTTTTTTATGACTAAAAACAAGCTACGATTACACCCGCATTGCGATCCCTTTGTTGTGTGTATGTGACCTTGGAACGACTACCTTCCTCTGCCTCATTACTGAGGTCAACAGGTATCGGATTTGTTAAATATATCATCAGAAGTTTGTTTCTGGCATTGACTTTAGATCAAGTTCAAGGAGGTATTGGTTGGTTTTTATGCTCATTAGCGAGGAAATTCTGTGCTAGTTCGGTGATAATTGATGAGGATGACGATGCTAGAAACTACAGTGCATGGCTTCAGGGCATTTAATACAAAATTATTGTACAGTGTATTGTCGAGGATGGTTGTCAACATGTTTTCTGTCGGTTTGGTAATTAGTTTAGCGATGCAATTACGTACATATCAGATAAACTGATGGAACAAACAAAGTATGCAGCCTGTTTGATGATGGCTAAAAATGAGACAAAAATGTTTTTTTTTATCTGGATGAATTTGATAAGGGCATCATAATGTGGAATACTGTTCTAACCTAGCAATCGTTTTATAATGTTTGTAATAATATTATAAATTTGTAATTCAAATTTCTGTTCAAGATTTGAGGTGGTAATGCATGATTTGAGAAGATAATATTACCTTGTGTGCCTCTCTGTCTTCTTAGGGATAGTGTGATTCTGCCTTCGAAGTACCGATTGACAGCAGCGCTTATAGCCGTTGCTGTTGCTGTAATCTTTTTCGGCAGGCGGGTAAGTTAAAAAGATATGTGAGTGAGTGAGTTTAGTTTTACGCCGCTTTTAGCAATATTCCAGTGGGACAGCAGAAATGGGCTTCACACATTGTACCCATATGGCGAATCGAACCCTCGTCTTCGGCGTAACGAGCGAACGCTTAACCACTGGACTACCCCACTGCCCCAGAGTGATATGTATTGAGTGATGCCTTGTATGGATCTTCTTATGGTTCGAACCACAGACTGGGCCTGAACATATTTCTTGGCTTATCAGCGCCGACCGCCTCCGTAGTGTAGTGGTTAGAGCGTCCGCCCGGAGAGCGGAAGGTTGCGTGTTCGATCCCCGACCGCGTCATACCAAAAGACGTTAAAATATGGTACTTGTTGGTCCCTGCCTGGCGCTCGGCATTAATGGGTACAACAAGGACTGGTCGGCTCGGAGTCACGTCGTCATATGAGCGAATATTCTCAAGCACGACGTTAAACCCAATTCCACCACCACCACCATGAAGCGATGCTCATGGTATCAGTGGACGTGTCATTTTCAGACCGCTGTCATATTGCAGGAATATTGCTTACTATGTTAATAACAAAAATATGTAAAATTACTTGGATTGTCTCCCCTTAGACGGACTCAACCTCTCGGAGCCTGTTCCTTTTGGCGGAGAGAGCCGACAAGCAGAAGGAACAAGTGACCTTGCTCAGGATGAAAAACGAGGCTCTCGTCTACAATCTACTTCCGGGTCACGTGGCAAAGGACTTCTTAGGCTCACAGAAGAAAGATGACGTAATCAGTTTTACCTCATACTATTAGAAAACAACCAATGCCATAAGAACGGTGGTCAACGTTAGATGGGTTAATAGGTTTTATTGCCTTCTTTTGTGACCGCTAGCAGATATCAAAGTCTAGTTTCCACTTTTTAATCTAAATTATGCTGAAGACCTGTTATGATGTGTGTTACACAAGTAGTATATTCTGAGAAAATATGTTTATTTAAAAGCTTGTAATAATAGCATGGTTCTTAACTTGGATGACGCTTTTTGGAAGCATTTATCCATAAGTTTTATCTGTACAGAAAGTAACAACGAATCTGGATTCATGTGAACACTCATCAACTTCAGCCTACTCATATCACCATTCTTTAACAAGGGGTTAACATCATATAACCATTTGCAACTTCAGTCGGTTTACTCATGACTATAGACTGTTTGCAGTGAAAACGTACCCTTGAATTTCACTTTAAACAAAAAAGCAAATCGACTAAAGTAAAATTAAGATTACGAATCCTTATAATTTTACCTTGCCAATTGACCATTTAAATCGCTATTATTGGTTTGTATTACAAGGGGGTAAGCATAGTAGTTGGAACAGTGAAACAAATGCACGTGCGGTACGTGGCGAGCGTTAACTTAGACCAAACCTACTTGTTCTCGGTGTTTCATTTAATGCACGCACACCCTTGTAATACAAACCAATAATAACGAGGTGAAACTATGATCGTTTGTTAAATAACTTTTATCCTCAGTTGAATAAAATTCTGAGATTTAAATGGTCATTTGGCAAGGTAAAATTATGAGGATTCCCAATCTTAATTTCACTTTATCCGATTTACTTTTTTGTTTTGAGTGAAATTCATCGGAACGTTTTCACTGCAAACAGACTATATCTGATGAACCTCCTATGTGTATCTCTTGCGACGAAATGTTCCCCACCAAGCATATTCTGCTTGACTGTGCGGACTTTTCAAATGCGAGGCTGACTGACTGACTGAGTTTGCTTTTACGCCGCTTTTAGCAATATTCCAGCAACATCAGGGCGGGGGACACCAGAAATGGGCTTCACTCATTGTACCCATGTTTCGAACCCGGGTCTTCGGCGTGATTGCCAGCTTTAACCACTAGGCCCCTCAAATGCATCGCTCTATTAAGGGACAGATCTGAAAGACCTGTTTACCCGTTTGAGCGGGCATCTCATTGTTAACTACCTGAGGGCAGCTGACCTGTATCATAAATTGTAATTATGTAATGTGAATGACATTTTTGAATGACGAATGGCTTGAGTTTTTGGGGTTGTTTTTTAATTTGGTGCTAAGAGATTTGTAAATGATAATGTAATGAATACATATGTTGTTGTTTTTAAAAAAAAAATAAAATCATTTAGACTTTGTACTTAAAATGTTTATGAATGCAGACTTGATGGCGTCACTTTATGGCTGGAATAACGCCGATGTGACCCAACTCAACTCAACTCTATCGTTGTCGTACAGTAACTACTGCTGCTGCTGCTGCTGCTACTGCTGGGGCCGCTGCTACCCCTACTCTTACTATACTTTCTAATGACATCCGGGGCGGTGGGGTAGCCTAATGGTTAAAGCGTTGGCTCGTCACGCCGAAGACCCGGGTTCGAATCCCCACATGGGCACAATGTGTGAAGCCCATTTCTGGTGTCCCCCGCCGTAATGTTGCTGGAATAAAAGCGGCGTAAAACAAAACTATGTCAGGCAGTCTAATGACATCCTCGTTTGCTGTATTGTAGGAATTGTACAGCAACGCCTACGATGAGGTCGGGGTGATATTCGCGGCCTGCCCCAACTTTCACAACTTCTACAACGAAAGCGCCGTCAACAACAATGGTCTGGAATGTTTCCGGTTCCTCAACGAAATCATCTCCGACTACGACGAGGTGGGACATAAGACTGGCAGAAATAACCGATTAGTTTGTTGTCAAAATGTACATGCGCTTCAACTGTAACACTACAGTTACATGCTACTCGACATGTACAGTGCAAGGAACCTAATTGTCCTTCTAACGAAAATTAATAAATTACCTTTATTTGGTCTGTTTTGATATAACAAAGAGAAAATGTTAACACTTACAACTTTAGTTTAGGCAGATTTTTAATGGTCATTTATACATATACGCTTATGAATTTGACGTTATGTCAAATCTGGATGATTAAAATTCTTCGTCAATTTCGTTTTATTCAATATTCACGAAAGTAGACCCTGTATTAAGAACCGCCACAATTGCCTGTGCAGAGTTGCCTCCCTTAGACGTCCCGCGATCCTATCATCGTAGAATAAAATCAAAGTTACAATCAAGGCCTGTGTCAGCTGTGTAACATGCTTGTAGTTTCCTACCCGTGAAGGTCTGGGTTAGAATTGATCTTCAGTAATACATGCTTGTCGTAAGAGGCGACTAACGGGATCGGGTGGTCAGGCTCGCTGACTTGGTTGACACATGTCATCGGTTCCCAATTGCGCAGATCGATGCTCATGCTGTTGATCACTGGATTGTCTGGTCCAGACTCGATTATTTACAGACCGCCGCCATATAGCTGAAATATTGCTGAGTGCGGCGTAAATCTAAACTCACACACGCTTTCCCACACACAGTAGTTTCCTTCAGCAAAGCAGTCCGGAGACCTGCATCACGCCGCTTTTTATTCCACACACAGCTACAGTTGGGCTTCACACATTGTACCCAGTGGGTTCAACCTGATTGTTAACTATTTTTAAAAGTACTTGCATGTACAGCAGGTCCCGTTTCTGACAATACCGAGGTTACGTTTCTCCCTTCCGTCATTATATGGGAGGTGGGGTAGCCTAGTGGTTACGGCGTTCGCTCATCACGCCAAGGACCTGGGTTCGATTCCCCACATGGGTATAGTGTGTGAAGTCCATTACGGTGTCCTCCGTTGAAATGTTGTTTAAGGCGGCGTAAAACTACACTCATTCTCTACGTCAGTATATATCTACTATTGACGCTGTTGACAAATGCCGTGTTACTGTAAGACACATGGTTGAACTAAGGTGTCGGTATATGTTTGTACTGTAAGACACATGGTTGAACTAAGGTGTCGGTATCTGTTTGCAGCTGCTGGAACAAGATCGTTTCTCCTCCATTTGTAAGATCAAGACTGTCGGTCCTACGTACATGGCGGCTAGCGGAATGACCGGAACTGTGCACGTTACCAAGGTAACCCCAATATACAAGGACAGTGTCCAGAGCTCCCTCGCTTATCTGCAGTGGACACCATGACAGAATGTTTGTTTGTTTGTTGTTTAACGCCGCACTCAGCAATATTACAGCCATGTGGCAGCTGTCTGATTCAGATTCAGATTCATTTTATGCATGGGATACGGTATTTCGTCAGGCCTAAAGGCCTATCTTACGACAAGAATACAAATACACTTAAAGAATCAGTTGTTCATTCATTTTATGCACGTGAAATGTGGTATGTGGTGACATTTCTGTCAAGCATTGTGATCATCTTCATGTTTTAAATAAATAAACAATAGATTTGATAATATCAATATTTTAGAATTTAACTGACTGACTGACAATATTTGATTCATCTCTTACACAGTGTTGGTACAAATGATAAATACTTACTTCTTAAATCTTCAAACTTAGGTACATTAAAATAATACATTGAAATTTCACTTTCATGTATTACCTGATATGACAATTGCTTACAGATGGATTCATTTACATCACTCGAAAAGCTCTATTGGGTTTGCTGTAAATAGTGAATTCTAAAATAGAGCAGTGGAGATTCCAGGTTAGATACTGTACCAAGCAGCCAATGCCTATCTAACACGGCGAAATAAAGAGTTAAGCTATCTTAGCCCTGAGATTGACTTGATTGAGTCTATGTTAATGTATAGGGGCTACGACCGTCATAGCGCTAAGAAAATTTGGAACAGATGTTATATTCGGGGATACACTTTCTCAGGAACAGATTCTATAACTGTATCCGGCATTCTGTATTCGGCATTCGTACCCACACTCTCCGAGAGAGGCACCTTATCGCCAGCACACTCAGTTAGTGATCTAACCCATTCGGCCACCACAAAACTGAAAGTCTGACAACTGGTACTCTAGTCTGCTGCACAGTCCCTCAACCGCAATATTTTCCCATCCGTTAGCCCTCCCTGCATTGCTAAAGCCCACAATGAAGCAAGTCTAGGTTTCCTTAGTTGATCTCACCTTCTCACCTCTCCCCTTTTCAATTTAAAGGAATCAAGATTATATGTATTCAGAGACTAAGCGTTAGTCTACTGGTATGCTAGAGCACCTTCTTGAACAGGGTCCAGGCTATCAGAGTCAGTGGCCTTGTTGGTGGCGGGTTAATGTAGCCCGATGGCAGGGACCCTTGCTTTCATTAACCCTAGTTTGCTGACCCCAGGGTCCAGGCTATCAGAGTCAGTGCCCTTGTTGGTGGCGGGTTAATGTAGCCCGATGGCAGGGACCCTTGTTTTCATTAACCCTAGTTTGCTGACCCCAGGGTCCAGGCTATCAGAATCAGTGGCCTTGTTGGTGGCGGGTTAATGTAGCCCGATGGCAGGGACCCTTGTTTACGTTAACCCTGGTTTGCTGACCCCAGGGTCCAGGCTATCAGAATCAGTGGCCTTGTTGATGGCGGGTTAATGTAGCCCGATGGCAGGGACCCTTGTTTTCATTAATCCTGGTCTGCTGACCCCAGGGTCCAGGCTATCAGAATCAGTGGCCTTGTTGATGGCGGGTTAATGTAGCCCGATGGCAGGGACCCTTGTTTTCATTAACCCTAGTTTGCTGACCCCAGGGTCCAGGCTATCAGAATCAGTGGCCTTGTTGGTGGCGGGTTAATGTAGCCCGATGGCATGGACCCTTGTTTTCATTAACCCTAGTTTGCTGACCCCAGGGTCCAGGCTATCAGAGTCAGTGCCCTTGTTGGTGGCGGGTTAATGTAGCCCGATGGCAGGGACCCTTGTTTTCATTAACCCTGGTTTGCTGACCCCAGGGTCCAGGCTATCAGAATCAGTGGCCTTGTTGATGGCGGGTTAATGTAGCCCGATGGCATGGACCCTTGCTTTCATTAACCCTAGTTTGCTGACCCCAGGGTCCAGGCTATCAGAATCAGTGGCCTTGTTGGTGGCGGGTTATTGTAGCCCGATGGCAGGGACCCTTGCTTTCATTAACCCTGGTTTGCTGACCCCAGGGTCCAGGCTATCAGAATCAGTGGCCTTGTTGGTGGCGGGTTAATGTAGCCCGATGGCAGGGACCCTTGCTTTCATTAACCCTGGTTTGCTGACCCCAGGGTCCAGGCTATCAGAATCAGTGGCCTTGTTGGTGGCGGGTTAATGTAGCCCGATGGCAGGGACCCTTGTTTTCGTTAACCCTGGTTTGCTGACCCCAGGGTCCAGGCTATCAGAATCAGTGGCCTTGTTGATGGCGGGTTAATGTAGCCCGATGGCAGGGACCCTTTGTTTTCATTAACCCTGGTTTGCTGACCCCAGGGTCCAGGCTATCAGAATCAGTGGCCTTGTTGATGGCGGGTTAATGTAGCCCGATGGCAGGGACCCTTGTTTTCATTAACCCTAGTTTGCTGACCCCAGGGTCCAGGCTATCAGAATCAGTGGCCTTGTTGATGGCGGGTTAATGTAGCCCGATGGCAGGGACCCTTGTTTTCATTAACCCTAGTTTGCTGACCCCAGGGTCCAGGCTATCAGAATCAGTGGCCTTGTTGGTGGCGGGTTAATGTAGCCCGATGGCAGGGACCCTTGTTTTCATTAACCCTGGTTTGCTGACCCCAGGGTCCAGGCTATCAGAATCAGTGGCCTTGTTGGTGGCGGGTTAATGTAGCCCGATGGCAGGGACCCTTGTTTTCATTAACCCTAGTTTGCTGACCCATCTCGGTTTTGCAAAGCCTGTCGTCATATTGCTGAGTGGGGCGACAAAAATACATTACCTGTCCAGTTCACCATATATCATACACCAAGACTAGAACATGGTAGAATGACGCAAAAAGTCAACAGACATAACCAAACAGAAAAGCATTACAACAGGCTTTCATGTTTGAAACTGACAGAACATAGAGATCCACGTGTTCAAGGGTAGACGAGTAGGAAATTGATTGTCCCATTTTATGATACCAGGTTTCAGCAAGAAGTCTGCTTTAGCGCGGGCCAATTCCGTTTTAATGTATATTTGCCGTTGTGTATGTATCACAATGCCCAGAATATGTTTAATATCAATCCCATTGCCCACTCAGCTTCTTGAGAGCCCATTTGGAAAAGAGATGTCAGCTTCAGAGGAATCGATGCAAAACGTTGATAGATCGGAAAGATGATAGCAACAGACCCCATGTAGCTATTTGATCAGTTACTGAATTTTTATTTCTGACTATGGCAAAATGAAAATAATTAATCACAGACTTAATGGTTACAGAGCAGAGAAATAGTAAAGAAAATAGATTTGATTGATGGTCGTTCTGTCGTAGCTTATAATGAAATGTACTATATGACTGGAATAAATGGATATCACCCCATGACCGGGTTAATGACTATCACTCCATGACTGGATTAAATGGATATCACTCCATGGTCGGTTTAAATGGATATCACTCCATGACTGGATTAAATGGATATCACTCCATGACTGGATTAAATGGATATCACTCCATGACTGAATTAAATGAATATGCTCCTTGATTGCAATCGAGAACAAACGTTCATATGCTGAAGAACACTCTTCCTAACGTTCAGATCACATGGAAACTGGCTACCTTGTAACACTGAAAACACATAGGGATAGAACAATATTCTATGTCTCTATATTTTTGCCTCTGAGAACTAATTTGAACTTTCATGTAAATTCGATGTTAGCCTGCTGCTTCAGTCTTAATCCCAAATTCTTAGATGTATTAGATGAAAGGCGCCGATAGTACTTTATCGGGCTATAAAGTGCACATTTTGCATAAAATCACACTGAATTGACGTCACTGTGTCATTCTACTGCCCTCTTCGTAAATTAAACTTGGGGCTGGTACAATTCGTCATTTAATCTGTAATTTGCGAAACCATGAGTCCATTCCCAAATGTTGACATTAACTACGCCGATATATCTACCTATATGTGTTAGGACATCAGTAAATGTAACATAATTCCCGTTCTAGGTCAGCATACAGCGTGCGTTAAATTTCGGCATCAACAGTGTCTTCTCTGGTATCTGCTAGAAGATATGTTGGTCTTTCATATGAATACCTCGATTTAATGTAAGCACCCTCATCTGTCAAACGTCATGGCTTCGACACAACAAGGAGAATCCTCGATGCTTTAAAAGAAAGTCTCTTTAAACATAAGGAGTTATTCCGAGTTCTGAGATTCATGGATGCATGGGAAACACAAAATGGACGCTTTTTTGGTAGATATTGCTTATGATTTAAGAAAGGGTTTTGTCGTGTGTATTTCTTTGAGTCATTCATGAACCGTGTCAATGATAAATACGAAAACCATTACTAAAAGGGCAACCTCCGAATCACTATTAGAAGAAACCTTTAAGTTAACCTTTGATATCTCTTGCTGTTGATTCACGCCTGTATATTGGTGCAATGCTTGTTCGATTTATTCCCACTTTTGGCAGTCAATTTTAACGGTGATAGTTAACGAGCTAGAACAGTTGTCCCGATTTTGGCAGTTTATGACTCACACCTCATAATTAGCTCTTTGAACCGCCTCCGTGGTGTAGTGGTTAGAGCGTCTGCCCGGAGAGCGATAGGTCGCGGGTTCGATCCCCGGCCGCGTAATACCAAAAGACGGTAAAATATGGTACTTGTTGGTCCCTGCCTGACGCTCGGCATTAATGGGTACAACAAGGACTGGTCGGCTCGGAGTCAGCATAATTGACAGCATTGACAGCAGCGCTTATAGCTGTTGCTGTTGCTGTAATCTTTTTCGGCAGGCGGGTAAGTTAAAAAAATATGTGAGTGAGTGAGATTTGGTTTTACGCCGCTTTTAGCACTATTCCAGTGGGACAGCAGAAATGGGCTTCACACATTGTACCTATATGGCGAATCGAACCTTCGTCTTCGGCGTAACGAGCGAACGCTTTAACCACTGGACTACCCCACTGCCCCAGAGTGATATGTATTGAGTGATGCCTTGTATGGATCTTCTTATGGTTCGAACCACAGACTGGGCCTGAATATATTTCTTGGTTTGTCAGCGCCGACCGCCTCCGTGGTTTAGTGGTACTTCGCTCGGCATTAATGGGTCCAACAAGGACTGGTCGGCTCGGAGTCAGTATAATGTGTCTGGGTGGGGTATTCATGCTTCACTGCGGCATGGTATCTCAGTGGGCTAGCACTATAAAACCAGCTTCAGTCTGGGCTAGTACAAGCATCCGCACATACACACGCATGCACGTAATCATATGAGCGAAATATTCTCAAGCACGACGTTAAACCCAATTTCACCTCACCTAATTAGCCCTTTGACACCTCCTTAATGAGTCTTAATGGATTTAGTCAACTCCTATGTAGAGTGAAGAAGAGAACAGAATAACAAAGACTTTTATTGATGATGATTATTTTATTCACAATACATTTGCAAAGTATTTCAAATGTTCAATGACACCAGCCAGCACACTGCCACAAGCATTGGTGATGGGGTGTTTTGGGTAGCGTCTTGGCTCTGTCCTTTCTCTTCCATAGTGAACATAAGTGTAACAAGAAATTCAGTTTCAAATCTATATATACTCTATCGAAATAAAACATCCTTCTTTTCTAGTATGTGAGATGAACTTCCCTCTTTCATCTACTCCGGAAATTAGTTATCTAAATAAAACATCCTTCTTTCCTGAAGTGAGATGAACTTCCCTAGCTCTAACCTCTTTACTTTTACAAACATCCCCAGTGCCTAATTGGTCCCTATTGTCCCAGTAGCAAATTAGTTACCACTTTACTGACGAGACCTGCATAGTCCAGACACAACAGACTGCCAAAAATGGGAAATCACCGCTTGTTCTACATCTTGAAGAAAAAGAGAGATGTGAGCTGATGCATCTAATAGATGGTAAAAAGTGTTGGCTTGGTAGGTAGCACGATAAGAAAGTTTGAAGCTCTCATAAAATCTTGTTGACATGTTTTAACTTCCTGTCCGTTTGTGGGATAAACCATATTATCTATCATGTGGTCTCTGCAGTGTTTGACCTTAACCCTGAAAAGCTGCAGGCCCTAAAGACCCAGAACCATAAAACGTTGTGGGTCCTGATCAGAATGTGTAGGCCCTATATTTTACCTACACTATAAGTAATTCAAAACAAACCAAAAATATGACAACTAACAAACTGAGTTAAAGAATTTAATTTATCTCTAGTGACTGATTTGTCTTCGTTTACAACGAAATCATGTCAAAATCGAAGTCTTCCGAAAAGTCTGTGATCTAAATTGCTTCCTCGAAAATGATGTCGTTTCACTTACAGACAACAGCTGCTGATCGAGATAAAAACTAGAAATTACTGAATGATATTTTCTGAAAATAATACTCTTAGTTATTGGGATGAACAAGCTGTCGTCCATAAGGACCTGCAGAAAACAAACTGTGGGTCCGGGTGGTTTTCAGTTGGCCTCGGGCCTCAGGGCCGACGTTAATTTCGAACGCTGGAGACGGTCTCTGGATAAAAACATCAAAGCAACAGAGCTTGTGTGTGAAATATTGAAACTATGAAGACAGTGTACTATTTGTTTGATTCTTTCAAACATTTGCGTACAATATGTTACAGAAATGACAGAAACAGTCGCTTGCGGACAAGGGACTAAACTGACGAAACGATACCCGATTTAGTGGGCCGATTACTGTCTGCCTGTAAATATATGGACATACGAGCCATCTATAAACCATCTTGCACCATCATCGCATTTTCTGAAACCGATTAATGTTAACTTTATTGCAAACATAAATAGTACCATTTTCACAGGACCGGTCTTTTCCTAGTCTACTTCTTGTGCCTAAAGGGGTGATGGATAAAGCTCCGTCACGCCAGCCCCAGCTAGGGTAGTGTGTGCAGCCCAGTCCGACTCAGGTCGATCAGAGTCATCAACGACGCCACACACTCAGCCAGGTCATAAAATGGAACCACGGTCAGTTCTTGTAACCATAAGCACTGGGAACCTACTTCAGACCTGGAATGCTCTCTTGAAGAAATATACTTATGTTCTGATAACGCTATTTCTACACTTTCAGTGCTCCAGTTTGCGCGAGCGATGGAAGCACCTTGACGACCTCGTCCAATTCGCTTTCGCTATGAAGGAGACTCTGCGCAAAATAAACGAGCAGTCCTTCAACAACTTCATTCTGAGAATAGGTGGGTCTTGGTACCATGTTGTCACATTTATAATGGAGTATCTCATGGATTTAATTTGCATCATTTTCATATAAATTTTACATGTTACGTGTCGCCGGAGTTTGAATGTTAAAGATACCGTTCCAGGAATCAACCACGGCCCCGTTATAGCGGGGGTGATTGGCGCCCGGAAGCCACATTACGACATTTGGGGAAACACCGTTAATGTATCCAGCCGAATGGAGTCGACAGGGCATGCTGGGAAGATCCAGGTATATTTCATTGCACACCTTTTAGAAATCTAATCTACTGTTCCATTACAATACCTCTAAGCTTCAACATCTGACAAACCACAGTGGGTCGCGTGAGATGACTCTTAGTGAGTAAATGAGTGAGTGAGTTTAGTTTTACGCCGCACTCAGCAATATTCCAGCTATATGGCGGCGGTCTGTAAATAATCGAGTCTGGACCAGACAATCCAGTGATCAACAGCACGAGCATCGATCTGCGCAATTGGGAACCGATGACATGTGTCAACCAAGTCAGCGAGCCTGACCACCCAATCCCGTTAGTCGCCTCTTACGACAAGCATAGTCGCCTTTTGTGGCAAGCTGAAGACCTATTCTACCCCGGATCTTCACGGGTCTGACTCTTAGTGAACTTCGGTCGCCCAGTGTAATTAAAACATGTGTATGTTCATGAGCCAATCCTTTCACTGCTTCCTGTTTCAAATCGCCGAGATGCGTCCCTTATGTCGAGCCAGAAACCTGGTTTTACGCCGCTTTCAGCAATATTCCAGCGATATCACGGCGGGGACACCAGAAATTAGCTTCACGCATTCTACCCATGTGGAGAATCGAACCAGGGTTTTGAGTATGACGAGCGAACGCTTTAACACTAGACTACCCTATCGACCATAGAAACCCGTGACAGTGATAGGTTCGCCCGGATTGAATTCCGGATTTGTCGGCACCATAACTGCAGTCGTAGGTTTCCTTTAAAGGGGGACACGTCTCGGACCTGCATCATTTCGGGCCTTCTTTAGGTATCAAACTGACACGTCGTGGTATAATAGAATTACTGTTCTAAACGGAGTCAAACACGAACTCACTCACTAACTAACTCACTTTAGAACTTTAGAGAAGACAGATTATGCATAACTACCAAAATTGATTTTTTTATCTGCATTACAGGTGGTAGAGGAAACGATGGCCATCTTGAAGGAGTTCGGCTACATGTTCCAGAAACGAGGCCTTATCAAGGTCAAGGGCAAGGGCGAACTCATGACCTACTTTGTTGAGAACCGAACGGAAGATGACATCGTGATGTTAAATGGACTGCCATGTTAGGTCCTGTGGGAGTGGTTTCCAGACAAAACGGTGTATAAGCAGGACTACATGTCTTTATACAAGCCGTATGTTCTTGAGGATCAGAAACGATATGAAACATTGGAAGTGTTATTTGTGATGATAAAACTTGGAATGTAATATAAAGTGTGAGGTAAAAATGAATCTACCACCTGTTCGAACATTTCCAGATATGACCATGAGTCAAGGAATCTGATTGGATGTGACGTGGTGTGCATATTATGCATACTTAATTAACTTAAGTGAGTTCCGTGCCTTTCAACATTGACAATCACAAAGACAAGCTCTATTCTATGTAGTAGTTCTACGTGTAGAAGTGCAGGAGGTAGAGGATATCCTCAAAACTCACAGTCCAGTGACTGACTCGCAGAGAGCCTAACAAGTCTTTCAACAATAACGAACGTAGCAAGGCCGCCATTATTCACACATCAAGACATGGATAAACAGACCCCGGGTACAGGGTCTCTTACTCACACATCAAGACATAGATAAACAGACCCCGGGTACAGGGTCTCTTACTCACACATCAAGACATGGATAAACAGACCCCGGGTATAGGGTCTCCTACTCACACATCAAGACATTGATAAACAGACCCCGGGTATAGGGTCTCCCTTTCTTACACATCAAGACATTGATAAACAGACCCCGGGTATAGGGTCTCTTTTACATCAAGACATGGATAAACAGACCCCGGGTATAGGGTCTCCCTGATCAAGACATGGATAAACAGACCCCGGTAGAGGGTCTCTTTTTCACACATCAAGATAAACAGACCCCGGATAAACAAGACATGGATAAACAGACCCCGGGTACAGGGTCTCTTATCAGTTGAAATAATGACTCACTCGTTCAGAAGCCGGTTCAGTACCGGCAGTCGGCACAGGAGCTCGTGTTTGTGATGAACCAGATGTGTGAACTTGTGTGTTTCTTATCAAACTGTATAAACGTTCGTTTTCTTTCTATAGATGTGACAATCACAGCACAGACTGTACCTGGAGATTTGACAACTCCAAGACACCCCAGTGATAACAGGGTGTTTATTTCTGTGGTTGAGTGTTGCGTTATCAGATGACAATACTGAAGTCCCGTAACGCTAGGAAAAGTCTCAACAAGAGCACATGCATAATGCATGCATAAATCCGATTGCATGTGTAGACAATTATACGCATGAGCCTGCATGTCCGCGTACATACGCGCATGTGCGTGTATTTCTACAGAAGTCTGAAAGGTATGTACGTGATACCTTCAGACGCATACTTTCATGCCCGAGAATAGACCTGCACATATGTAATGCATTGGACCAGAATGGCGTAATGTTATTGGCCATGTGGAAGATATATCTGCTGATTGACAGAAATGATGCAATTCAGTGGAGTGAATATACCAGAATAAATAGAGCAGAATATTCCGTGCCACCGTCTCATCCTACACAGTGCCTTGATGTTGGACCACGACATGCGGCTGTGGCTATCCAGTCTCTGCATGTCATGTTTTACCGGAAGTGATTGAGGACATTTCGTCACAGGGATCAAATTCCTTGAAATGTGTTAATTCTGTTATATTACATAAAACACAATTCTGGCATACCGAAGCGTATGATAAGGATCTGAAGCCGGAATATTTGACACCCGGCTTCAATTTCTTCTCAAGTGAATGACCATTCCTTATATTTTTTAGCTGGGATAAAAAAATGTTTTATGGCATTGTATAGTTTATATTTATGATATATATAGGAAATAATGTATTTATTGTTTTACAGGGTCCCGCGTAAATATAGTCTCGACTTCTTTTTAGAAACCCCGGCATATTATCAAAACCGGAATCTATTTATAGACACGGCAGATATCCAGCCTCTGTTTTGTCTTGGAATTTATTTACAATCCCCGCATCTGGTTAAAGTCCCAGCATTTATTTAAATCGATATCTGGCATTATTCCATGAATTAAGGTAATACGGTGTCTGATGATACATTATCAGTTGTATGGTTCTCGCACAATGGTTAAACTGTTTGCTCCGGTAACATTTGCATCTATCTGTCGGGTGGTTTGGGTTCGGCGGGCACGAACCAAGACCTCCAGAGAACATTTTGATATAAAGTCACATGCTGACTATAGAACCGCGTTATCTAAGGTAAGGCAGATGATGCACAGCCCCGAATCCCGTCCTTGCGCCTGTCGTATCACGCCAGTGGGTATGTTATGAAGTGGATGAAGCGTCGTAATATGAGACTTATTACGTCTTGACGTGCCGCGTCGCCTATCGCAGTCATCATCTGCTATTACCGTCCGTTGTTGTACCGTATTTTCTGAAATCAAACGTCTGGAAATATATTTCTTTCAGACTCTTTATATCTTCGGCGCTTAAGCGCAAAGGTAATATTCTTAATTCCAAGCCCAAACGAATACTGTAAAATACGGTACGATTGTTCCAGTATGGGAGTTAGGATAACACCATTATTTCCCTTTATGCAAGGGGATCCTGGTGTTAATTTCATATTTTCACTTACATGTTGATTTCTTGTTTTTGATTCTGGTTATATTTGGATGTAAATAAAGTATAATTCATCAGATCCACGAGTTTGTGATGTTATGAGATCAGGGTGCCGTTCGTACCGTCCTTAGCGCTACCCCGGTCTATCGAGCGTTACGGTAACCTTAGCGCTAAGATCACTTTAACCAACGGCAGATCCACGAGCGTTCTGACATAGCAGGGAACAGTTCCTCAGGTTCATGTCAGAAGCCTTGCTATCGCGAACCCTCTGATGTTTCTTCTTCACTGTTATCGTCCTTGCTTGTAACCCGTATAGCGAAAGCAAGTCTACAGCATACTCCATTTCAATAACTCCGTCCATTTTCGCCTGTTATTTTTGGGATTACGCTCTCTCAGTAAAGTACAGATACTAGTACTTTTGAGGGTTGAGCCGCATCCGGGATTCTAATACCGCATCATCACAGTAACGCACCTAATCGCCAGCACACAAACTCAGCGACTTTCCAAAGGGAATGTGTATTCGTCTATGTTGTCTGCGTTTTAATATAAGAGTGAATTTCATACATGTTGCATAAGTAATAACACAATCAGTTAAATGCTTCAAAACCCCCAGCTCATCTGCTTCCGAACATTAGAATTGCCAAGAAGCTCCCCACATACAATGTAACCCCCTGTTGGATGAGGTCAATATCTCCGATACACCACGGGGTGACCGCTTGATGTGGGAGGAAGTCTGGTGCCGCTCTTGAACGCTGATCCCTTTTGGTGAATCCCGTGAGCTAAAAAACCCAGACACATTACCACAGTAAATACTGGATTCGAACTAATAATGCAACTCTGTCGGTGAATAGCAGCGCCGTAAGATGCCTCTCAAGGTACTACTTGTAGTGGCAACTTTATCACAAAAGGTCATGCAACACAGTTTCAACGTTAAAACACCCTAATCTAGTTGCACCTGACTTGTAAGATATAGGATTTGTCCTATTTCCTCTTACAGTCCGTTTGCTGCAAAATCGTACCGCAAAATATGGTAAATAGATATACAAATATACAGCAACAAATCGTTTTAAATTCCATGACAGTTATCCATTTGTTCACACCAGCTCGTCACCATCAGACATTGGCATAAAGAAGAGTATAGGTTCTTCAACAATCAATCATGTAATTGTTGGTGTAACCTGGCGACAGGTATCTGGAAGTTCTTCTCCTTGGACCATGGCTATCTAGTAGCTCAGTGGGCGTTGGAATGACTTTAATCGAACTGAGAATGTGAGGAATGTGATCACAATACCCCCGTCTTTCAACCAGATTATGATGGGTCATGCTCCACAGATTGGAATGGAGATTCCGTGTACACAGACCGTACTTCCTGGTTCGCCTACACGTATTACTGGTGTTGTCTAGCTACTCCACTACACGAGTCAAGGTTGAAGTTACTAACCCGTCCACAAAGGCTGTTACAATTCCAGCCCAAACAGTACTTCGGAACAGTGTCATTTGGAACAAGGTGCTGTATTGGACGGCTTTTTCTCTGAAGATGAGGTCACTCATATTGGCTCTATACCAAACTACCAAAAGAATTATTAGATCTGGACTCTCTGGCTGATACCAACTCACCGGACGAAATAACTCAGTTGAGCTGTCTGTTGAATGAGTTTGACGATGTGTTTAGCAAGTGTGATATGGACTTGCAGCAAACCTTGAAAGACTTAAACAGCAGAAGGACTATAATCCTAAGGCACGTGGTGTGACAATCAAGTTTGGTGATGTTGTATTCGTGCGTATAACGTAACGTCAACATATGTGGGGTGGTGGGTGGGCGGGGGGTGTAAACATCTGTGCAAAAAAGAGTATTATATGAGTCTCAACCTCATGCCAAAGTTCCTGTGTTCAAAGTCTGCAAGGAAGGGAACAGAGACTGTCGTGTACGTCATCGCAGTCTACTGCTTTCCAATGGTACAGATGGCCAGCCCATACCCGAGCCAGGCTGCTCTCCATCAACAATGGTTTTACGCCGCTTTTAGCAATATTCCAGCAATATCACGGCAAGGGACACCAGAAATGGGCTCCACACATTGTACCCATATGGGGAATCGAACCCGGGGCTTGGGCGTTACGAGCTAGCGGTTTCACCACAAGGCTACCCTACCGCCCCCGAACTCAACGACACAAGTGCTGATACAACATTGGAAATCTCAACAACCAACATAGATCTTGAGAATACTTCTTCCCCTTCTTCTACACCATCCACACCAGTCGTTTTGGTAGAGCTTTATTACAGATCGATCCTGCACTTTAGTTGACCCGGCACGCCCATAACGGGATCGTCGTTCTTTGGTACCTCTTCCAATGCTATTCACAGACTGTGAAACATGGAAGGTATTGACCACTGCTCCTTGACTTCTGCCAGCATCAAGCACGCCAACTGCCCATAGCGACTCCGCGCCCATCGTCCATACACAGACTGTGAAACATGGAAGGTACTGACCACTGCTCCTTGACCTCTACCAGCATCAAGCACGCCAACTGCCCATAGCGACTCCCCGCCCATCGTTCATACACAGACTGTGAAACATGGAAGGTATTGACCACTGCTCCTTGACTTCTGCCAGCATCAAGCACGCCAACTGCCCATAGCGACTCCGCGCCCATCGTCCATACACAGACTGTGAAACATGGAAGGTACTGACCACTGCTCCTTGACCTCTACCAGCATCAAGCACGCCAACTGCCCATAGCGACTCCCCGCCCATCGTTCATACACAGACTGTGAAACATGGAAGGTATTGACCACTGCTCCTTGACTTCTGCCACCACCAAGCACGCCAACTGCCCATAGCGACTCCGCGCCCATCGTTCATACACAGACTGTGAAACACGGAAGGTATTGACCACTGCTCCTTGACTTCTGCCACCACCAAGCACGCCAACTGCCCATAGCGACTCCGCGCCCATCGTTCATACACAGACTGTGAAACATGGAACATATTGACCACTGCTCCTTGACTTCTGCCAGCATCAAGCACGCCAACTGCCCATAGCGACTCCCCGCCCATCGTTCATACACAGACTGTGAAACATGGAACATATTGACCACTGCTCCTTGACTTCTGCCAGCATCAAGCACGCCAACTGCCCATAGCGACTCCCCGCCCATCGTTCATACACAAACAAAGAAAGAAATCAAGTAAATCACATTTGTGTGAAAAGCGGCCCAGTATGACTGACAGATATGACAGTCCACAGAGGCTAATTTACCTTCCTCGGAAGTGTCAAAGTCAGGAAGGCCGACTACGCGCGTGTGTGACGCCACATGGTGCGGCACGTGCAAACTAAAGGATGTGTTTTGGTGCTAAGTTTTTCAGACATTTTCAGTTTTACAGTGTTTTCGCAAAGGATGTTTGTCGTCAATACTATCTTTTGTAGCAGTACATTATATGATCCCTCCTCTCACGTGAAGGGCAGGAAGTAGTTGGGCTCAATGATAAACAACTTGGAGAGTCTTCGAAATAAATGTCTTCACTTAATTGTTTGAATAATTTCAAGACAAATTCAACACGCGTACCCCGGATGCTTGTTACGGTTGAGTGAGTGAGTGAGTGAGTTTAGTTTTACGCAGCTTTGAGCAATATTCCAATACCCATGTGGGGAATCGAGCCCGGGTCTTCGCCGTGACGAGTGAACGCCTTAACCACAAGCCCAACCCACTGCCTCTGGTTAAGGATGGAATCGCAAGAGTGAACACAAAGTGCAGTGGCTAGTGGACACTAGTGGTGGTCCGATTAATTGAAATAATCGAAGATTGGTCGCAGTGACTAAACGACCAAGCAATCGATCATGTTTTCTCATAATCGAACACAAACAATTCTAAAACACTTATTTTCATTAACAGTATTTTCACTAGGTTGGTTTTGTCTGTTACATTTCATAAGCAGTCTACAAGCTCGTTCTAAGTCATGATTGAATTTATCTTAAAGACTCTAAGAAATTTATGTTCCTCCATACTAGTCATCCTTTAAAGATGTGAAATTTTACCCAAAAAACCCGAAAGAACTACATGTTTTTTTCCTTATTTTTGTGTGCATTAACACATTTCATAAATGACGCTAACCAATTATTTTCGATGATTGATCGGTTGTAATGAACCAATCATCAATTATGAGATTTTAACCAAATTCCCAACACTACTGGACACGCTTACCTTGAGGAAACGTCTTGGCACATATTCCTGAGAGTATAATTGTATTATTATTGTGATCTACATGCAGCACAACTGTGTCCGTGTTATTATATGGAATGGCTGCAAAACCCAGAATCCCCTGAAAGATTCCGACGATATCCTAAGCATGTGTTTACGAATTACCATCACAAAGAGATGGTACCAGGTGTTCGCGAAAGGGTTATCTTCTCCAAGGCCAGTGGGTGGCACCTGTCACAAACACATGCAAAGGAAAGTCAATTTTTCACAGCTGGGATTCACTGCATGAGAACACGAAATATTACTAAAGAGAAGCCGGTCAACTTGTCTTTTCACAACAATTGTAATGGCTGCACACATATGTCCAGAGAACAAACCAAAAGCCCGGATAAGACTCAACCCAATATACTAGAATCTGTACTAAGCTGAGTAACAAATGCTACATTTGGCCATGTTCCAAATGTCCATGTGTATTCAAAACAAAAGCCTACAAACCCTTAGAGCAACTGGAAGCAAATCTCCTATGAAGAGTGTGAGTGAGTGAGTGAGTTTACCTTTACGCCGTACTCAGCAATATTCCATTGACATTAACCAAGTCTGCAAGCCTGACAACACGATCCCGTTAGTCGCCTCTTACGACAAGCATGGGTTACTGAAGATCAGTTCTATCCCGGATCTTCACGGGTTCTCCTATGAAGAAAATCAAATGATCAAACGAAGAGCAGTATTTAGAGAGACTCTAGCGTCATTGTCTTATGGCAGGTCCAAGAAACGCAACTCTGAAACGATTGTTCGACGAAATTCTACCTTGCAAATACTGCAACCACAGCTTCTCGTTTGAAGAAAGGGTCGTTCTGTCCATAATGGATACAACTTACCGCTTCACAATAAAACGGGTACAAATATATATTAGGAAACATATTTATTGCAAACAGTAAGTACATCAATTGCCGCGTTAAACATGTGTATAGAATGAATGTGGTTATATTGCAACGTGCAATTTTGGTCATTAAAGATTGCAGTTATCAACACAAATGTACTGACTGTAACAAATACTATCAACTGGAACCACCTAATATTCGCATTTCTCACTTTAAGCTGGGAGACAGCAACGGTGCTATCTCCACTTTTACACATATTCATGAACTGTGTAGTCTAGTTATTTATTCTTAGTGGGACTTGAATGGAAAATACGACAAGGATTTCTATTACGCAAGGAAATGTATTTCTATGCGATCCTACACAAGAAGCATGTCAATGGTGAAGAATTTAAAAATTGAACTAAATTAATTTTACATTTCTAAAATAATACACACTAAAAAACTCATACATTCCGATTTAACTGTCTCTTAAGATTATAATCCCGATTTATGTTTCATTTTCACAACACGTTTACTCTGCGAATACCTGCGTTATAAATACTGAAATCAAGAGAAAAAATTATGAGACAGTTAAACTTTCATAACTACAACTCTTCCTTTTTCAGTTTCGATTTATCCTTCTGAGGTTTTCCCTCGGGTTTATTAAAGATATTAGCGATTCTCATCAGTTGGTCGTCACTCAGTTGATGTATGTCGACCCGGGTGATGTAGTTGAGACCTCGCTTTTTGTCCCGCTTCTGTATGTTGACGATTTTCTCTTTCAAGATATTAAACACCTGCTGGGCAGGGGGTGCGTCTTTTGCCTGAAAAGGTATAGATATATAAACAGATGATTATTTTACACATATTTTTCAACATATACATTTAACATAATATATGTTTAACATTTACAGTCCAGAGTGTCGGGGTTTGGGGCCAGCTATATTCCAAAATATCATGACAGAGGAGACTGGAAATGTTTTTCTCACTTTGTACTTATGCTGGGAATAGAACAACGGTGTTGGGTGTGACAGGCGAACGCTTTAACCATTAGGCTAACCCACACCTTAGTGATAGAATCATAGATAGCAAATGATCACACACCTAACAGTTAGATGCCGAAAGTTGCAAATTTTAAAAGTTTTTATGTATTAAGTTAACAATTTATATTTTATTCAGAGAAGATACCCATTTTTTAGGTTGAACGGGACACCAGTACCCAAATGCTTAAAACATCCAATAATTATTGTTGTGGTCTTTTTACGCCGCACTCAGCAATATTCCAGCTATATGGTCTGTAAATAATCGAATCTGGTCCAGACAATCAAGTGATCAACAGCATGAGTATCGATCTACGCAATAAGGATACGATGAAATGTGTCAACCAAGTCAGCGAGCCTGACCACCCTATGCCGTTAGTCGCCTCTTACGACAAGCATGGGTTACTGAAGACCAATTCTAACCCGGATCTTCAAGCTATCAATCACAGGTATTTCTGACCCAGAATTATTTACACGCTGCAAAGACAGCTACAGCCTTGTAAAGAAAGTGTAAACCCATGTTTGGTGGCGGTTGAAATGACACAAAGAAAAAACGGTTTTGAGGTGATGAATTTGATGGAGGATGCTGTAGTTGCGTATTGGACCTTGTGTTTAAAATGGTTCAGTGTCTTTTGAGAAGGTTTGTAAGTTTTTGGACAAATCCAATGCTCGGGTGTATAGTTTCTGTAGCAGGACAGTGTCATGCCTTCACCTTCTGAATATCTGTCAAGACTTCCGATGAATACGGTAGAAGACTCGGAAGTACATACCCAAGCTGTTGCTTCTTTGTAAAAATGGTCAAACTTCTCAAAATAGATCTGACTATCGTCCCTGAGGAGTGACATGAGATGGTGCCGCATGCTTTTTGCATCCAGCTGCCGGTTAGTCAGACGCTGTCATGGAAAAAAAGAAGCTGGTATAGAGACTGCTGGCTGAATACACGAGTCAGCAGTTGTTTTAAGTTGTCTAATTCATATTGCTGCTGTAACTAATTGAATTTGAAATATATACAATTCTTTTACAAAATATTTTCACACTCTAATTCAGAGGCAAAACATTCCTCCCGCTTATGTTTAGATTTAAGGTGAGTATCACATATAAACTTGTATACACTCCCCAAACAAATCTTGCACTTACATTCGAATGCATACAAGTGGAAATATAAGATTGATAATACCTACTATTTCAAGATCCTCTGTCTTTCCTCGCATTACTTTTTCTAAAGTGTACACAATATGATTATTTTCATTTTCTTCCTTCTGCATTCAGGGTACTATACACAGTGTAGGCATTCTACAGTTCATGATCCTGTTGGAATCCTTGTCAGTACATAAGCTTGTGATCATAATGGGAGTCATTAAAGCGGTCAGTGGTTTGGCAGACGATACATACCGTCTTCCCGCCATCATAGCTCCAGGTGAAGGTTCCTTCAGACATTGGCTTCAGTGTATCCGCTGCGCCCTTCTTACATGGAGGCTCGTCCACGTCCTCGTCGGTGTCGGAGGTGGGGGAGAACAGGATGGAGTAGGAGATGCTGCGACCGTAGGCGTGCACGTAGTGGAGGTAACCTGGAACAGAGAAGTCTATGAGGAAACGCAAATCTCTTGGTAATTCTTTGACAACCGACCTTCCATTTATAACATTACTAAACTTTATAACAGTAACACATAACTCATTTTCAAGGGACACGTTTATATGTGTCAAGGCTTACATGAACGTAATGGCCAATTACGCAAAAAATAAGGGTTCAGTCTTCAAAATGTGTAAGTCATATAGCCTGCATATTGATACAATAATTAAAAATTGTTCACTTCAACATCAAAAGTACAATTTGTTCCTGATTAGAACGACATACGTGCAAAATGCAGTTTAAAGTCCAACATTGCAACTTCTTTGAGTTGCATTTAGAAGTTGGTAAATCAGATAAGGACACATTTTATTGATTAACAACTTCTTTATTCAGGTGTTGCGACTTTTCGATACAGATTCTTGGATCGTCGCCAAGCAAGCATACCTACAGTTCCAACATGGCAAAGTCATAGTGATGACTGTCAAAATTTCTCCACCATGAAACATCGTTACAAAGAAAAAAGAAGTAGTTATCCATATAATCACCACGTATTGATGTTCCTCGGTGTTCTTGCTGCTTCAGATACTCAACATGTACCTAACACCAGCTAGTAATTACACCTGGTTTAAGTGGAACACCAACAAGTCGTTACCTGAGGGTATGAGGATACAGTCCCCCTGTTTGAGGGAGGCCCATGTCCATGGCGTCTCCTTGATCTTCTTGTGTTTGTAGACGTTGATGTTCTCCATGTCGATGGGGGAGAAGCCCTCGCCTGAGTTGATGTACTGAAAACATATCAGGTATAAGGTGACGGTTTCTTATCATCATCCTGAATATGTCGGTGTCCTTTATATAGAGGTCATGCAAATATTGGGAATAGATGCGAACGCACATTTCCCTTTTATATTTCAGATGTAACAAATGACAGATTTGGACATACAACTTCAAATACTTAACGAGAGGGGAAGGGATTCCAATCCAGTATGAGAATCTGCACTCTCCAAGTAAGCGGTGATCGGTCTCAGTATGAATCTGTTTTTTTAAACCTAACTTCAAAGTTTAACAAACTCGATACCCCCGTCGTATAAATGTTTATTGCACATGTGTTTGTTCTTTTCTATTACCCTTACGTTTTGGGATTGTTCATTTTAATTTTGTTTTGTTGACGTTTTCAAAAATCCATGCATATAGACAAGTGATGGGAAAAACCTAAGAATAGTTTTGTAGATTGGAGTCAAAATAAGGCTTTGCAAGAAGATCACACATCTACACAAAACTGCAATACTGGTCCTCCACAGATTCACGCCGTTGTTCATGATCAATCAGGGCTACTGAAAACCAATGAAACTAAATGTTTTGAGACTACAATGACACTATAGAAACTTACTGTTTCCTTGAAGTCAAAGTTGTATCTGTACTTGTTTCGGACGATGACGTAGTCACGTCTGCCGAAGAGGACGCAGTGGAGGTTGTGGTCGTGATGACTGTGGAGCTTGGAGGAGATACTGCCACTGGACATCCATAGTTCCGGATTCTGGAGATAACGGCTCACTACACCACAGTTAAAGATGGTCGGCAGCTGCAGCGATAGGATGGTACATGATCCATCATGGTGTTGATATCAACGTATGTAACTACTCTTAAAGCCCCTCGGTAATTAACAGAGCTATATTCCCTACGTCTTCACTTATTGCAGTTCACATATACCATACAGACCATAGATTAGAGCAGAGTTGTACATATTGTCACTATCAGGATATAGAACATACTGGTTACAACAGTTGTGCTCTCAAACCATGCATCGTTCATAAGGAACCAAACAAAAGGCATCTTTGCTTGTACTAGTGGTGGTCCGATTAATTGAAATAATCGAAGATTGGTCGCAGTGACTAAACGACCAAGCAATCGATCATGTTTTCTCATAATCGAACACAAACAATTCTAGAACACTTGTTTTCATTAACAGTATTTTTCACTAGGTTGGTTTTGTCTGTTACATTTCATAAGCACTACAAGCTCGTTCCAAGTCATGATTGAATTTATCTTAAAGACTCTAAGAAATTTATGTTCCTCCATACTAGTCATCCTTTAAAGATGTGAACTTTTGCCCAAAAAACCCCCAAAATAACTACATGATTTTTTTCGTTATTTTCTTGTGAAATAACAATTTTTTTGTAAATGACGCTAACCAATTATTTTCGATGATTGATCAGTGGTAATGAACCAATCATCAATTATGAGATTTTAACCAATTCTCAACACTAGTGTAGACTGACCGACAGTTGTTGCTGTATCTCCGCTGGGATGACAGAAGAGATGTACCAGTCTTCATACTCGTACTCAGACAGGAAGCGCTTCACCTTTACCACCTGGGTCGTCCGCTTGATCTCGTCCTTGTGGAAGATGGGGCGCTGGGTGACAACCGTGATGTTGAGCTTGCCGAACCTGTGGACAAGGTGAACTGTGTAGCAGACAAGGTGGCACAATGAAGGAAGTCAGACGCACTGAAGGCACTGACTTTTAACGTGAAAACTGAATCATACATAATGCCAGAATATTTCAGAATTCACTTCACTAGTTCTTGCAGGGGCGGTAGGGTAGCCTAATTGTTAAAGCGTCCGCTCGTCACGCTGAAGACCCGGGTTCGATTCCCCACATGGGTACAATGTGTGAAGCCCATTTCTAGTGTCCCCCGCCGTGGTATTGCTGGAATATTGCTAAAAGCGGCGTAAAAACATACTCACTCACTAGCTCTTGCATCTATGGAGAAATAAACCTAAAGATTAGCGTGCATGTTGTGTGAATTGATTCTTGCTTTACTTGATTCAAATCTGCCGAGACTTTCGGTAGGCTAAGTGACTGATTCCTATAAAGATGGAGGATGGGAGGTTTCAAAGTTCATTTACTTTTGGTGAAGTGAGTAGCTTCAGGACTCACCAGGCGTTAGGCTCATAAGCTAGAAAAGCAGGTCGAAGAATTTTAGAGATTATAAATGGATATAATCAGGGAATAGTCTTTCTGACATATCCCGGAGCATGTGGCTAATAACACAACCGCTCCCATTCCACGCCTCCTCCCAGTATGGTCTACTTTAGCCTCTAATCATCACCTTCCTGCCTCTGCTGATCCCAGACTTTAGGTTGCCCTCATAGAACCTTGTTAACCTTATGTACAACTGCAGGTACAGATCAGTTGCGTAATTTGCGTAAATTACGCAAATATTTATGTGAAAACTCAATTCCTATTAAGTTTATTGCGTACAAGTAAACTTGAATTTTTGTAAATACTCAATAAATGTGATCTTACATGCGTACACAAAAAATGTCAAATCTTAGCTTGCGTACCGGGGGTTAGATAAAATAACTGAGGCATACTGACAGGTTCTATTTCAGGAAATGCACTTGACAACTTGTAGTTTCTCATAATACAGAAAAAATATAAATAACAAACACTAACACTTAAACGTTATTATAATTAATCGAAAATGGCAAAATACCCAATTGAGTTTGAGTGAGATGAGTACAATTTATTTGGTTAATCAAAGCAAAATTAGGATACCCAATTGAGACGAACACAAGCGAGTACGTAACTCAATGACCCAAAAAGTTATCTGTAGCTCTGAAAACTGAATTATTGAAAAACTCAGACTGAGATAACGGTCAAGTGATCCAATATGCGAAACATAACATTGATATAGCATGTACTGTATTAACCTTAGCCTAACATTTTCATTTCGAATATTTTAGAATCGAAATCTGAAGGTGAAATGTGTGACGTTCCTAGACGCTGATCTATCTACGAAGGAATTCCAAATTAGCGCTACGCCTGTCGTACGTCCCTTTAAGAGTATGGGAGATACAATCGTCTTATCGCTGAGATTGCGTTGTGGAACTGTGCTGTGTTCTGTTCAAAGTGCTATTATTGAATGAGATGTGGCCGGAATAGTGCTAAAAGCGGCGTAAAACCATTCTCACTCACACATACGCCATACCTCTCTGCATCACGATCTGAGGACAGTTGGTCAGTGACAAAGTTCGCATGACGTGGCTTCGTGTGGATGTGTTGTGAGATCTTCACACAGAGAGGTGCGGGATCGGGGACACACGGTAGAGTACTTACGTGTCTCTGAGGTATTTGTCTGTCGCCCAGTTCTTGAACACCTCCTCGTCCTTCAGAGCTTTTCGGAACACCACGGGCGTCCGCTGTTTGGAGTAGCCGTGGTAGAACACTCTGATGTCCGGGAACCCGTCCAGTTCGTCTGCAGGGGAGTCAGCCGGACGCTGGTAGCCTGGGCAATGAAGATTATACGTCAGCTATCGGAGATGAATGAGTGTTTAGCTCGCCCCTCAGCATACACAGCAATTGCTTAACATACAGCAATATTGCGGCTCTAATACGCCCCACTCAGCATATACTATGTAAACTGTTATATGATCCAAGGCAAGACAAGGCGCGCCATTGGGGTTCGCTACAACCACACATCACGGAGTCTCTATTATAGTCAGCCCGACGAAATCATTTGAACAGGTGACCACCCGTCTGTAGAAAACGATAATGGTGCCACTTTGGCACACCGCTTTCGTAACCTTTATCCCCTTTTAGCAAGCAGGTTTGCAACTAATCCTTACTACCGTTAGAAATCAAAGAATATTCAAGGAAGTAATATATGCATGTGCGTTCGTATAATCATTCTCTTGAGTAAACGAATTATATACTGTGATTTATGTATATTTGGAAGGCCAATGAGAAAGCGATTGTTTACATGCTCTGGACATAGGGCTGATCTAACAGCATTATAGGCACCCGGCAAAACCTGGGCTCCTGCCTGTACTGCACTAAGAATGTAAATGGTCCACACAATTAAACATATATTTATTGGTACTTCCACAGGGCCGTCTTTACAGCTAAATGTGCATTTACAAGTAACAAGTGTCTAATGTGTAGCAAATGTATAATTGACAGCATGTCACAACACATTAGCATGTGACCCGTATGTTCGTGGGGCCACGGGAAACTGCCCAACGTGCGCATGTCTTCAGACGGCCCTGTTTGGAAATATGTCTTGTTTCCCATGCGTTCATGCAGACTTGACTCTTTACCCAATGGTTCTATAATCGAATCATAGGTCTGCTCACCTTTGTTCTTTCGATGTATATCTACAAGATACATTAGAATTTCTTCGTCATTACATCGTGAAAGTTGCCCTACTTTATGGTGCATTTTCTGGTGTGTATGACTGGAAACAATTACCCAGGGGTCGGAGATGTCCCTCCGGCAGCCCAGCGTCTCGCCTGATGGGTGCGGGGAAGACAGCATCCATTGACAGGTCCTTCTTAAAGCCAATCCTAGCGTCCGTCGTCCATGTCACCGTCAACAGCAGCAGCAACAACGACATTTTGATTGATAGTGGGCTGAAATAAACAAATTATTCACTTTAAAGGTTGTGTAGGAAATGTGTGAGTTAATGTTTGACTTGACAATCGGTTTAACATGTCGACAGTGGATAAAATGAACCCTCACGACACGCTACTACATTTTGCCCATTCGATCTTCTTTCTTATGACATCAAGTCAAAACATTGAATACACAACAGTCTCGTTTCCTGTTGACTTGGTGTTCGTGCCATTGCGCAACTTAGTACAATAACCAGTCCAGAATTTTGAGACCAATTCATTTAGCTGGATACATAAATATTAATCAGTATTATTTGATACATCTAAGCACTTGTATATTGCAACACTACGCTCCTTCTGATCCTTGCAAACGCGTCGTGCAGCATGCTCTGTCGTACAGCGAGCTCTGACAAACGGAAACCTGGAAATCGTTGAAATCTTAAAACGTGGCTCTGCCGCTAGAAAGGTTTGGCGGTCTGGTACGGAATTGATATATACATGTATAGTTACAGAACTACACTGAGACGTCTTAGTTAAGGTCATGCTGCCTACACCTCGCCATAAAATATAGAAACACGATGTTATTAAAGTTTAAAATTAAAATTCATTTGTAAATACCAATTTCTTATGAAACAAGGAATTGGAATTCAGTGTAACCAAAGTTGTTTGTAGTGTCTATTTTCACTTTCACACGAGCAAATTCGGATCGGCTGAAAAGGGGGTCATTGTCTGAATGAGTTAATGAGACTCATGTTTCGGTTTGCCAACTATAATGTTGGCCCTTTCTTCTACAGGAACCTATGCTTGTCGTAGGCGACTAGCGCTGATCAGTCTTACAGTCGTAGTTGATGCATGTCATCGTATCCCAACAGTGTAGATCGATGTTCATAATGTCAATCACTCGGATGTCTGTTGTATTTATGTGTCAACATGTTCTTCCATAACAAACACTGAAAGAATATTCACACTTCATCTGAAAAGCTTCGGACAATTTATATACGTTGTATTGCTTACCTGTAACAAACCTTATGAATATTAATTATTAAAACAACATAAGTATACTTTGGATTGGATATTGTATGAATACGTGTTTGCTTCAAAGACTATAAACGACTGCCACAGATCGATGTACTGTAACCGTATGAATTACACTGTATGCCTAGTCAATCGAATGTTCTGGAAAGCTTCCGGTTGTTTGAGCTATACAGAGATACACTTGCACATGTGTTCCACTTCAGATCGAATAATCAATGAAACCCGAGCAAAGGCACATTTTCTGTCTAATGCAACGCACCCATTAACATATCAGACATGTTCGATAGTGGTCAGCATAGATGACATTTCCGGAAGTCCGGTTGCAGGAAGACTATTGTTTATGTTGTTGATGGCATGGTGTTAAATCACGTTGCCAATAGAAGGGATCGAGTCACTGATCAGCAAGATATTTATAGTCGTATTTGTGCATTAAGATGTAATTCAAACTTCGTATTGTTCATACTTAAACTTGTGGGGATGAACAAATGCGATGTGAAGGTGACTGTGCTATATTTGGACCTGCTTTGGTCAGACTGACTGACAGACTGAGTTTGGTTTTACGCCGCTTTTAGCAATATTCCAGCAACATCACGGCGGGAGACACCAGAAATGGGCTTCACACATTGTACCCATGTGGGGATTCGAACCCGGGTCTTCGGCGTGACGGGCCAACGCTTTAACCACTAGGCTACCCAACCGCCCCGCTTTTGTCAGAAGGAGACATGTTCTTAACATCGTCGAAGAGTTCGTATAAACTTTGTCATGGTTCCATCAAGTATATTTAAATTTCTAGCGGTTGAGAGTTATCGAATTCAGAAGGATTTTTTGAAAAATTACTTTAATGGATAATTTCTTGACCAAAACGGAATTTGTTACGGAATTGCAGACATTTTGCGGTGGAGTAGCCAACTGGTTAAAGCGTTCGCTCGTCTTGCTGAAGATCTGTTCCCCACATGGGTACAGTGTGCGGAGCCATCTCTGAGACTCCACCGTGATACTGCTGGATTATTGCTTAAAGCGGCTTAAGGACATACTCACTCGCTGTAGCCTCAGTAAACGGAGACTTGTATCTGTATTATAGGTTGTTTATGTTATGTGATATGTTAGTGTACTACAGGCATGTGCAAGGCCAAAGTTCCAACTCATGCACAAATACAACCACAAGTGAGTGAGTGAGTTTGGTTTAGCGTCTCTTTGAACAGTGCTTTACGTTATACCACCGAGTGTCAGCTTAACGTGGAAAGAGTGATGTTCCTGAGAGCGGTGGGGTAGTCTAGTGGTTAAAGTGTTCGCTCGTACGCTGAAGACCCAGGTTCGATTCCCCATGGGTACAATGTATGAAGCCCATGTTGTCCCCCGCCGTAATAGTGATGGAATATTGCTGAAGGCGGCATAAAACTAAACTCATTCCCTCACTGTTGGTGAGACCTAACATGGACATGATACCGACAAACCCGGAAACCTAGTGTAAATGTGGGACACGAACTGAGGATGCAGCTCTGAATAGTGAAACCCGGTACTTTAGACAACTTGGACACCAGATATATGTATATTAAGATTGCATTACATTCTTGACATTTCAAGTGATGCGGGTGTTAAACGTGTAGGCTTATGGTGCTGACAAACCTATAGAAACATAATCGGGTCGTGTCTGATGAATCGACCTAACTATCACAGGTTTATGGCTACTGACTGGGTCAGCCATACTCACAGTAGGCCTTGCCATTTTTGCACAATGGAGACAAATATTTCAAATTTTCAAATATGTTGTGGTTATCGAAAGCCGTACGGTACTACCTTCCTAAATACATACCAAAATCCTTCGCAAAACATAAGCTGTTCAGCAGAAGGTCTCGCAAGTGTGTTACTTGTCCCTAATCCGTTCAATGTTTCTTAATAAACTATGCTAAATTTATAATCTTTTGCTACATGCAATAAATGTTAATGAAAAATATACCATTGTGAATGTTTCAAAGCAGTGTGTCCTCGCCAACAAAGCTCTAACAAAAATACCAAATGCCAAGCATACAGATTATGTGGTACTCACTTTGATTGTACAGCTGCAGCAGCCATTACTGACCTTCACCTTCTTGTTTCAAATCCTAATTGACTGATTAGCTAACAAGTTAATAAGCCATTTAAGATAGTTTTGTGCAATATGTCTGAAGACTAATTTAAAGGTCAGTATGGAAGACGGCTGCTTGCATTGATTCCGGTAGGAATGTGAGTACATGTACGATTAGATGCATTAGGTTGTGTCAGGCATTATATATGTATATGTATGTTATTGGACATTGTGTCCATCCCGGTTAGTGAGTTCAAGGAGGACGTCACAGGGGTACTCTCTCGGCCATATGGTCCATAATATCACCAGCAACCTAGTGAACGCTTGCAATATTATTCCCGGGACTCGATGCTGCATATATTTTCGGAGACTTGGGTTCGTTCTTCGGAAAATGGCTTTTGCCACCTTCCGAAAATTCGTAACAATTACCAGAGAATAAATGCATGCCATATTATGCTTGTAAAGAGGTCAATATTACCAATGATTCCATATTAATTTATGAAAGCTGTGTGACTAACATAACATGCAAGAAAAATACCCATACAGACGTGAACCCAGGAGACTAACGTTAATCCACGCTTTGACTATGTTAATGCATGTTGTTGAGGTTAGAACAGTATTGAATGCCAACAGGTGTGACAGTCGAAGTGCCATAAAAGATGTCAAAGGGGCGTAACTCTTAAGAGTCAAGATGCACGCAGTGTCAAAGGAGTTCGATGACTATTTTCGGCGTAGTTGAAACATAATAATTCACTGAGTCGTTAATATCGATTTACCTCACTTGTCTTTATAATTTACAGAAATTGTTTTCAGTGTATTTTGAAACGTTCTCCGTGACCTCTTGTCGCGTACATTTTTCTTATCAATGACACGAAGATAATGACGTGGACCTCCTTGACGAAATGCTTCAGGCAGGATGTAACGAGGCAAATACAAGAATCTTTAGTTACATTCTGTTACTCTAGTCTCAACTCTGATTCCAATGATAGTTAATAGCGAGTATGTCTATCGTGCCATTGGTGTCTGACGTGCATACCTTACACACACTTAACATTGAATTAAGAATGGTCTCCTTTGGAATTATGAGCCCATATAAGACTATTTCTAGGGTTTTTTAAGTTTCATTTTTTTCATTTCTTTATGAAAGTCAGGGTGTTGGTCTGGAGTTTTAGATTTAGACACATAAATACAAATCATTTGTATCGATGTTTACACTCGAAATACACATTTCAGTAAACCAAATAAGGCTTTCAGGTAAAAAATACAATATTTCAGGCACCAACAGCCTGGTAGTAGTGTACCCTTATTTCGATAGTGTACAGTTGGAATAGGGTGGTAGCCACGGTAGTATGGGAGACTATTCTACAGACCCTACAACATTTAAATAAAACATACAGAACAGATTTCGTATATCCTTCTCAAATGAAAATAATATTAGGGCATCCTGGTTGTAGTTAACCTACACATATATTTCGGACCCACGATGAAAATGTTAAGGAATTATACAACACCCGTTGTGGTCGATACTGCTACAATACCCCTGTACCTTTCACCCCGGGGGTGGGGGTAGTGTGTGTGTGTGTGGGGGTGTGTGTTGGGGTTTTGGTGGGGGTGTCAGCGATGGCACCCGACTACCAAATTTCATAATACGGACGGTGATGAAAGACTAAGTATATATTGTAAACTAACCTCAAAACAGTAAAGATATTATAATCACATGTTGGTGACGATATTGCAAATTTGATACTTAAATAATATTTCTCAAATATTTGATAAAGCAGGCATAATTTATAATCACAATAAGGTATAGCAAACAAATCATACATTAAAGAATGATAATGTGTTTGACACATGAAAACCCAGATAGTACAACGAAAACAGTTCTGAGATAAGAAAATTTCTGAAATTATGATATATCTTAAACTTCAACCAAAATGACAGACTATTTAGTGCGAATTCTACTAACTACTTTCAGCATGAATGAAACTTCGCATTTTAACATTAAAAACCATTCCAGAAATACATACCTCATTTCTAGAGCAGAGGTGTGACTACCTGTAATTATCCCAGGTGAGAAATATTCCCCGAATCCCCCTCCTAATGCGTGAACGACGTGGAGGTAGAGTGTAGATGTCCACGCAGGAAGTGAGGCACAGCGCCACGTAGTTGATCAACGTAACAGTGCCGGCGACATTTGACAAAGAGTTGTGGCCGGTGATAAATCGAATCTGAATATCGAAGTCTTGGCGACAGATGTGACGTATGGTATTCGGGGGGTGAATGGGGGAGACAGTGCACGCTCAGCGATAACACTGTTCCTGCCGGATATTGAAATAGTTCTTTTCAAGTGGTTTGTACTAAATACATCATGGTGACATGTAATGTGCTTCTATTTAATTTACACGTTTGTAGTATTGTTTCCATGGTTAAGCTTCGTGTTTACTGTGATGTTTTCCTGCATCGGGGGGAGTTTAGGGAAATACATATTGGCCGCTTTGCTTAGGAATGTATCACACAGTGACACAGGGTAAATATTCATATACACTTCATGTTATTTTTCTCTTGATATGAAAAGAATTGTATATTTCAATATTTAATAAACTAGGTTGCAATGTCAGTAACATAATAATAATATAGTGTGTTTGTTGTAAGGATGGCGAGGTATCAGAGGGATGGGGTTTAGGGGTTCGAATACACACACACACACACACACTTTTTTAAAAAATGACTTAAGACCACATTGCAGATTATTTTTTTGCGTTGGCGGAGCCAATGGGGTTCTACTCGGGTACCCCACCCCCTATTACCCTACCCTGATACCCGTTATGTTAATTCCTGACATCAAATTCGTAAGACATGGCAATATATTCTTCAGTTCAGAGTTTAAAATTTCGAGTTTTTCAACATCTTAACGTGTATTATATTCAAAACAGGTGACTGTCTACCTTATGTCTAAATCTTCAAGGACAATACAGCCTTTTAATCATGAAAGAATAACATGTTTCAATTATTAATCTATTATTCACATGATCATAACGGGTCCGGGTACTGAGAAGGATACCCGGGTCCAACTCTTTACCCACCCGTCCGGGTATCCGGGTTACCCGTCCCAGTGGTTGTCTCCCATTTGTTACACATGCCAGTTGTTACACAGCCCTAGGTTGTTGTGTATCGCCTTCCTAAATTGTCGTAGGAGGCGACTAACGGGATCAGGTTGGTTGACAAATGTCATCGTATCACAAATGCGTAGTTTGATGCTCATGCTGCTGATCACTGGATTGTCTGGCCCAGACTCGATTATTTACAGACCGCCGCCATACAGCTGGAATATTGCTGAGTGCGGCGTAAAACTAAACTCACCCACTCTTAATTTTGATTCTTTGTGTGTTTGTTATTAACATATTTCGTCGGTGTTGATGTGAGGGATTGTATGCCTTTTCTCTCGTAACATTTGTGTGTCTCCTAATGTGTCTGGGAACCTTTTGCCTGTCTTTACAAAAAGAATACACAAAAAAATCATCCAAATACATGTATGATAAAATTGAAAAAATAATTTACCACAGCGGCATATGAAAGTTGTCAAAAATGCAATGTTCCAAAAGGTGGACAGTATATATCCTTTCCTGCTCGTATGTTTCACATAAGAAAGGGTTACATGGCTGAAGACAACCTCCATGACTCACAGTCTGAAACCCAGCCTATTAATTAACCATTAACCCTTCTGTTGTACCATGCCTGAAAAGTTAATTGAAGATTGTATACTAAAAACATCAACTAACCTTAAAAGTGAACATTGTCATTCAAGAATACAAAAACGAAAACCGACCACAATGTGGTTGAATGTTTATGGAAGGTTTTTCTTGAGTTGATGTCGGATCATAATTACATCTTGTGTTGATGTCGGATCATAATTACATCTTGTGTTGATGTCGGATCATAATTACATCTTGTGTTGATGTCGGATTATTTGTGTTGATGTCATCATCTTGTGTTGATGTCGGATTATAATTACATCTTGTGTTGATGTCGGATTATAATTACATCTTGTGTTGATGTCGGATTATAATTACATCTTGTGTTGATGTCGGATCATAATTACATCTTGTGTTGATGTCGGATTATAATTACATCTTGTGTTGATGTCGGATTATAATTACATCTTGTGTTGATGTCGGATTATAATTACATCTTGTGTTGATGTCGGATTATAATTACATCTTGTCGGATCATAATTACATCTTGTGTTGATGTCGGATTATAATTACATCTTGTGTTGATGTCGGATTACACAGAACGGATTTGCTCATGGGACCAGAATACAGAGCAGGACTTAGGAAGAGACAGATATCTGATGACCTTTATTTTTTCCTCTCTTTTTCTTTTAAGATAATATGCGGGGCAGTGTCGGGACCAAAACGTTTCATAGATAAGACAGAATGTCAGATTACACAAGCGTTTTTAAATCTACTTCACGCCGCGTTTTTGCGTCATGTATGCAATAAAGATAATTTCAAACATAGGGCGCAACCCATTAGGTGTTTGTGGTGAGAAACCACAGCTCACACAAGTGAGTCAATCTGGCCCGGACTGAAACCTACAACCCTGGCAAGGGACGTAACTCTGCACAGCTTCATGGTGTATTTGCTGTCATCAACTGTCCGTTGTATCAACGAAGGTTAAGTCTGTCTATATTACAGGGCCGTAGTTAACTTTTATTAATAAGGGGGCACCATCCACATTAAAACAGTGTTATATCAATAGTTTGATGCACAAAAATTAATCTGTAAAGAGATTATAGGGGCTCCCTACTGCCCTGTATTATGAACACGAAGGATCAGAGTGATCATGCATGGTGGTGGCCTGAAAGCGTTTGTATTTTGTAACACATACTCGGGCATTATTGGCTTGTTACGTATTACTAAATGAGATTAATTAGTCTTAGAGATCAGCGCAATGACAGATTAGCGGTAAACGCTGTATGTACAGTCAGGTCTTCCGGTCCAACGCTTAACTGGAATCGAGCTGTTTTCTTGGGAGACTGAGGTTCTAACAGATTAACGGACGAAATCCAATTTTGTTATATATATGGATTATATATAAATACACACGCACACGCGGGCGCGCACAAACACAAACCTTATCGTTTAGATCTCCCATCAAAACTTCGTATCTGGTTAACAAACATTAAGAACTTCTGATTATAGATTACCCATTGAAACGGGACGATGGTTTAATATTAATCTAGAAAACAGAACATGTACAATTTGTAAAAATAATGTTATTTGTGACGAATATTTTATCATGTTCATGATCACATCTTAATGTTGAACGTAAGAAGATACTTCCTCTTATTGTTGCAATAATCCACACATGGACAAATTTATCTCGAAATGAACTTATGAAATCAGATTATACCCCACACCTATTGAAACTATCACTGTTTGCTAAAACTGTTCTTAGTCATTTCTAAACCAATATTTCCACTCATATGTTACTGCATTATAAACGATTGTATGTTCTCTATATCATTCTGTATGATTTACGAGAATAAAAGTCTGTTCTGTTCACAAACACACGCACATAAATGTGGTTTTCACACAGAGTATAAACCTACAATAACTACAGGCACCCTCATATCAGAAAAAAACAGTTGCTGCTCCTCCAAGTCCTTAAACCAGGACTGACATTCTTTGATCACTGATCTTTCATCTCCGCGCGTCATATTCCCTGGACTGACTGACTGACTGACTGACTGAGTTTGGTTTTACGCCGCTTTTAGCAATATTCCAGCTACATCACGGCGGGGGACACCAGAAATGGGCTTCACACATTGTACCCATGTGGGGATTCGAACCCGGGTCTTCGGCATGACGAGCCAACGCTTTAACCACTAGGCTACCCCACCGCCCCGATATTTCCTGGAACTATCTTTACAGTTTTAAACATTACTAAAAACATTGCTCTTCAGAAAAGTCTATGAAACATCTTTATCAAATTCTTTGCGTAAATTTAGTGAATTATAACGTTTTGTAATCATAATAATCAGTTTCGTTTTTGTAGCTTCTAGCACAGAGCATTTGACACGTGTATGGAATTGTGCCATATAAGTAATCATCATCATCATCATCATCATCATCATCATCAGTAGTAGTATAACCAGGCAACCAATTTACAGATTGCGTGACATAACAGACACAAAATGGGATATCGGAAAACATTTAAAAACACTTTAAAAGACAAATGTCATTCACTTATAATTTGTAAAACGGTTATGTTTCCTAAAACATTTTTCAACAAGTAGCTACGAATGAAAACAATCAACTGCTAAAATCTCGATGCATGTGCGTCGTTCTGTGGAAAATAGGCATTTTACTGAAAATATTAGAACAACGTTAACTTTAGAGCCCGTCTAACTTTGGTTTATTATAATAATATCTTTTCATTCTTGAAGGGTGTGTCTGCAATTCTGAATGTTACGACCAATAACCAAATATTGAATTATTTGGTTAAATATACAGGATATTTGTGTACACGACTGAGAGCTCATATGTTATGTTTTTCCCATATAAGCCTATTGCATTTTATCGACTTCAGCTTTGATACGCATTTCTCTGCGGGCTGGAAACGATTTTTCTACCATGATTAGCATTCCTGCTCAGATTTCCTTTCAATCGATCTTGTTACTTCACACCCGGCAATAATAAAATAGCAATGTCGCAATACCATGAAACACGTCTCGGGGGACTGTCCTCAAGGTAAGTTCAGGTTGTAGAGGTTAATCGCTGCACTTTCCTTTCAAGGTGAAGGTTGCCGGCTCCGGAATGTGAAGGCCGCCCCCGCACGGTGGGTCAGAGTTGAGCGACTTTGGAAACAGTGTTGTGTTTTGGCCGGTGGAGTAACGAGACAGTTCCCGCGAGTGTGTCGTGGATGACGGAGGCGACTTGTCGGGCCAGGTGAGAGGGAATCCACCATTCTCACCTCGTCAATGGTTAGATATGGAAGGAAAATCCTCACATAGGATGGAAGAAAACGGTAGAAGGAAAGTTCGACGACACTTGCCTCCGGGAAGAGGTCCGTACACTGTGGGGACTGTGGATTTAATGTGTGGACACACTGAAAATGGATCTTTCTTTAGGTTATTTTACCCAACAAACGACACTGACATATACGTAAGTAAACTGGTTTAGCGACACCTTTCCTATCCGCATGTTTTGTCAAAGTAACCAAAATCTCAG